ATCGATGTAGGGAAGAAACATTTGCTAAAGTGCTAGAGACTGATAAAAGCATAATGGCGTTGATGCTGTGAGTTTTGTATAATAGCTTAACAAGTTGACGATCGAGCCATTTTGGACGAAACTCCCATTAACGTTTTTCGCGCATTTAGCCCGTGCATATGCGCGTATGCACGAAAATATTAGGTCCCATAAGTCTTTTCAATTTTGAGTTTTCGCCACAATAAGTCACACACTTCTCATTCTAAATAGACATCAGGATACCATTCGATAGAGCAAAGCAAGCTCTATAAGACGGCGTTTACGCTTTTGCACAAGCTTTAGCCAATCTCGAGTTTCAAGCCAAAATCTAAAAAGTTTCGGATGGGCAGAAAACCGAAAAATTTTTATATCTTCGTTCAGAGAAGTCCTACAAACCTCTAACTCGCTCACGCATATACATTCCACATCAGACATTCGTATGTGCTGTTGCTGTATTTTTTTATCAGCTAGAAATCAAGAAACCGAAAATTTCCACGTTTTTAACAAAGTGATGATGTGCTGTTCTTACACTAACATTTGTATACTAAAAGCCCCTAGAAGTATTACCGTAGATTTCTGGCTCTCTATATGCTCTGGTTCACGAGAACTTGGTCAATCAACATTTCTCGGAAACCAGAGCTTATAGAGAGCTAAAAATCTACAATTGCACTTCTAAGGGCTTGTAGTATACAACTGTTAGTGTAAGAACAGCACAGCACCACTTTGGTAAAAACATGGAAACTTTCGGTTTCTTGATTTCTAGCTGATAAAAAAATACAGCAACAGCACATATGAATGTCTGATGTGGAGTGTATATGCGTGAGCGAGTTAGAGATTTGTAGGATTATTTTGCACGAAGACATAAAAAATTTTCAGTATTCTGGCCATCCGAAACTTTTTAGATTTTGGTTTGAAACTCGAGATGGACTAAAGCTTGTGCAAAAGCATAAACGCCATCTTATAGAGCTTGCTTTGCTCTATCGAAAGGTGTCCTGAAGTCTATTTAGAATAAGAAGTGTGTGACTTCTTATAGCGAAAACTCAAAAATGAAAAGACTTGTGGGACAACCTAATATTATGTGGGAGTCTTTCTGACGCATATTCATAAAACATAAGAACTTTGTGTAGAGGTACATGCATATCACAGGGTCTTACCAGAAGTTATTTCCCCCCAATAAACCGTGCAATGGCTATATCTGGGGAATCCCTGTTCGAGAGAAGCGTTATAATACCAGGTGTTTTCTGCCTGATTCATCCTTGTTTGCTCTTAAATCAGCTACACAAAGTTTTAGCCTTTTCGGAAAAACATAATTAGCCTATTCACCACATCAATAATGGACTGATCACAATTTTACGTTTCAAATTTTGTAAGCAGCTGTCGCGATGCCCTGTGTTCCATAAGACAATCAGGCCACCTGTAGTACTACTGGATAGAAGTTACTTTAGAACTTTTCGTTTACACCTAGAAAAGTAGAGTGCATGCGCGCGTATGCACGAAAATGCTAAACGGGAGTCAAGGTGTGCATACAGGCGGACATATGCGCACGGTAGTCAAGCTGTTGAAATATTACCCTTAAACTTTCGAGACTCTAGGTTAACTCGTTTACTCCATCTTCTTGGGATACAGGCAGCAAAATCACCACCTCCTCAGAGAAAAGCGAAACTCAAAATATTCCTCTAATGAGGTCATAAGAGGCTCCGAATGAGGCACAGGACGAATTATTCAAACGTGCCACGTACGAAGGAGTACGAATAAAAAAGCAAAGCCAAGAAGATAAGGAAAGAGTGTTGTGAATTTCTCAAACTCCTGCATACTTGACTTTTTCCTTTGATTTGCGTCAGAAGGTTAATCCAACGAAAGTGTACAGTTTTCATCGCTTCCAACTGGAAAGCAGTGCAGAAGATGAATCAAGGGTGAAAAAAGGAATACTGGACAAAGATTGAGAAAGGGAAAAATGTTTATAGGCATTAGAAACGAGATGGACCAAGCCGTCAGCGACGAGATGTAATAACAACAATCTTTGAAAGTCCCGAATAAGTTTGGATCCAAAATATGGTCGAAGATCGGAGCAAAGAATAATTTAAATCACAAGTTAATAAAATCACCGAGCCATAACAAATTAGCTTGACATTGATCATTTACGGAGCGAGCGTCTATGACGCCCAACATGCTTACGTTTATCGACTTCTGATGACCTCGAGATCATAGACGATGAAACAGATTAGGAAGCTCCTGATAGCCTTTCATATCATGATGTTACACTCAAGATCGAAGGAAGCTCGCAGCTGATGTTAAGCATCACTATTTAGTCACCAGATTCTTCTTGCATGCCACGACAGGACCGTGGCGGTTCTGATCATTTTTTGCTGGCATAATGCCAATGCTTAGCCCGAATACATGTATGCTACAGCACGAACCTTTCTACTCGGTTCGTTGAACACAAGGACTGGCCGTTAAATTGCGGAGCACGCGCCGCGATACCAAACGCTTAAACCAGAATTTGTGCTATTGCACAAATCGTGCTTTCTTACAATTCAACCTGCGCAATACCGCCAATCACTGCGATCGACAACTCGACTAGCTGCGGATGCGCGCTTCCCTATGTTTTGTCTCGACTGGGACGAGCTACGGTAATGCAAATCCCTTTACGAGGATAAATGCTATTCTTATGAACTTGAGATCATACCATCGCGATCAGCGGGAACGAGGATATAGAAGCTTCAAAGCAGACAGATAGGAACAACGCTTGGGGCGTTCGCAGACGGCAGCGATGCTTATGCTGAGTAACGCACAATTTGGATCGCATTGTTCTGAGTTATAAAAGAAACCTAAAGTTACGAAAAATGGGAACACTAGTAGGAAACTGACATATATGGTGCTGAGGAACAATGGTATTGCTCATTATTCAAGTATTCATACATTCGATAACCTCACCATATCGATCTCTTAAGAAATTTGCCACCCACACAACGTTACATAGAGTAGTAGGCAGGGATGGTCTTGTACAGTATGCTACAGTGCAGTCACAAAAGGGTGAAATCGCGCCGAGCGGTCGCGTGCGTTGCGTAGGCAGTCCTGGCAATCTCACTATCTTAGCTTTCGTCACTTCTCGACTTGTTTTACGCATGCATGTGATAGCATGCATGCATGTAAAACACGATAAATAAGCAATAAACAACATAATAATAAACATGATAAATGAAGTAGAGCTGGGTAGCGAAGTTTTGTTCTAGCGTTTCAAATTCTTGTGACATCTAGGTGCGCGCAAAGACCATCGGCGAGTCGCTGCAATTTTTGAAGGCTCTGTGACTCCTCGGTTGTACCTCACGCATTTGACAAAAATCGTTATCACTGGCAACTGATAGATGTCAATAATTCACCGCGCGCACATCTCGAGTCGCAGGCACGTACTTTCCATGACTTGATATAAAAGTGTCAAGTCTTACCTACCGATAGTGCTACGAATATTTATGAGCCATCGTAGCCATGCCGAATCGCGCGGCCACCGAAATCGCGTGAGGTATGATCAATGCCTAAGATTGAAATCGCGATTTAGCGCATATTGCCTAAAACGCGTATCCTCCCATATTTGGCTGCTTTCGGAACTGACTGAAACCAAGCCTTCTTTGGCCTCACTGCCTTAGTTCAAAAGAACGGGCCCAGTGTCCAAGCGAAAGCTCCATGTGCCACATTTGCCTGAACACTGCCTTCAACAAAAAAACTCAAGTCTTGATCGTCCGTGGGTGAGGATAGTGAAGACGGACGAAGACGAAAATTGGATAAGCGACGAGATTTCTTATTTATGGCACGCTACCTCAACAGCTATGAGAAAGCTGATCAGGGAAAAGCAACCACAAGGGGGGGGGGGGGGTCCCTAAAAATGGGAGAAGACTTCCCAATTAACATGATGGCCAGGAGCACGTCGACTGGACAATATATGCACAATAAGTACCAGATAAGATTTTGGAAAAGATGGAAAATGAAGAGGGGTATTCGAAAGATGACACAGTAAGGCATTCAAGATTGTGAACAGCACACAACCCCTATGCAGCTTTTCACTGCGACGATTCGGAGCGCAATAATGCAGATATGTAGACTTTACCTGCAACTGCAAGGCTTCACAGCAAGATTATTCGCGAGAATCTCTTCTCACAATTCCCAGAAGACTAAAGTGCGGTTCATAATTATACGAACACCTCAAATTTTGGAAGTTCTTGGACTTTTTGACAGAAACTCAAAAAGCCGTTGGCACCACGCGAAAGAGCACAGCCGAAAACGGTATATGATCCGTAAGAATGGAAATGGATGTCAATCTTAAAGGTGTTTTTGCGCTCAATGCAAATTTTTAGCGGTTCATAATTATACGAACACCTCAAACAGAGGTCCATTTTTCATTCAAGATTGCAATTATTTGAGTCCAAGTTTTTTTGTAGGGTTACAGTAACAAAGTCTGACATATCTGCTACACACTGAACCCAGTGCAGTTCAAAAAGAAGACCGTTACTTTTTTCAGAAGGCTCTAAATGCTTTTGGAGTGATTGCGCTTCAAAAACATCCGTTCTTCTGTAGTTTACGCGCTCTGATTAGCTTCTACCAAAGCTATGAAATAAAATAAGCTCTTTTGATAGGTATTTTGTTTGACGCTTGGAAAATCTTTGCGTTTTCATCCCGTTTTTCAACCAAGTTCCAACCTTACCACAGAGTTAGCACGAATTTAAGCCTCAAAACTCAGCTTCTGAAACCGTACAATGAAGTAAGCACATAGTATGTGAAAGTTCACAAGGCTGCATATTTGGTTAGAAAAAATCAGCAGCGCTGAGCGTTTGTTTTGGCAAGGCAGACGTCATTTCACCAAAAACACTGTTTTTACTATTGCAATCATACCTTTATTTGGTTTTTAGCTCCATAGCCTCAAGATCAGTTCTACAAAAAACCCAAAAACTTTGGCACAGAAACATCATCACGCAAACAATGCAGCGGCTTCATAGCAAATGTTTGCGCAAGAGAGAAGCTGAGTTTTGAGGCTCAAAATCGTGCTAACTCTGTGGTAAGGTTGGAACTTGGTTGAAAAACGACACGAAAACGCAAAGATTTTCCAAGCGTCAAACAAAATACCTATCGAGAGAGCTTATTTTATCTCATAGCTTTGGTAGAAGCTAATCAGAGTGCGTAAACCACAGAAGAACGGATTTTTTGAGCGCAATCACTCCAAAAGCATTTGGAGCCCTCTAAAAAAAGTAACGGTCCTCTTTTTGAACTGCACTGGGTTCAGTGTGTAGCAGATATGTCAGACTTTGTTACTGTAACCCTACAAAAAAACTTGGACTCAAATGACTGCAAACTTGGATGAAAAATGGACCTTTGTTTGAGGTGTTCGTATAATTATGAACCGCTAAAATTCGCATTAGGCGCAAAAACACTTCTAAGATTGACATCAATTTCCATTCTTATGGATCATATACCGTTTTCGGCTGTGCTCTTTCGCGTGGTACCAACGGCTTTTTGGGTTTCTCCCAAAAAGTCCAAAAACTTACAAAATTTTGGGTGTTCGTATAATTATGAACCGCACTTTATTTGTATATATTATCACTAGACTGCAATGACGGATATAAATGCACAGCTTTGAGACGACTCCTTCTAACGGAAGCGTGAGACATGTCAATTCTTGACTTCCTAAACAAGATCAAATTTTCTCAGAACTGTGGTTTATCATTTTGAAAGCAAACACAAATGGCGAGTAGAATATTTATCAAAAATGTAACGCAGCTTAACAATAATACTGATGTAACACAATGAGTAATTTGCTTACTATGTAGAGTATCCGATGAAGTTTGACTCTTAACAACAAAAAGGAAAATTACAAGAATATAACCCTAACTAAATGCACCCGTCACTAAGCGCCATAGACGCTTCATAGTACGTACAGCAAAAGGTTGTGCTCCATATCACATTTTGAACACTGGCATTAAGAGAAGAAGAGAAACAAGTGTGAGATGACTCACTTGGACAGCGTAAATGAAAGATTATTTTGTTAGTATCAACAACGCAAGGTGAAGTAAAGTGCTGAACACACATACATACGAAGGAAATTCGACGCTATTTAACGACGAATCCGAAGTCGAGGATTACACAACAAATGATCAGTGGGTATATAATATGGGACGCATATTACAGACGATGAGCTTTTCATATCTTGTCAATCCCTGCTAATAGCTCCCTAGCAGGTCCACTGATTATGTATAGTACAATGAAATTTGCCATTCGCAGAAGTTGGATGTGAATCCATTTACATGCAGACAAACCAAAATATGATAGGAGCAGACTGAGACAGCTGCATAAATTCATTATCATGTACTAATTGTACTCTATAGAACACTATCGATGAAGGGAGTGTGCACAAACGCCTCATATAGGCTTTTCGTACGATACGAATTACCCAAAAATGAGGAACGAAAGAGACTGGCGGCAGGAAGAGACCTGAAGAGTGCATATAAGGAATCTGTCAGCTCGGTGGCATCCACTGTTATATACAGGTGATAAAAGCACTTGCTAGGCCGCGAAACTCCTATGTGAGAACGAAAAAAAAATAGAGGAAGAATTTGTTAGCCATAGGGAAACATCAGAACACCCATAATAACAGAGTAACAAATAGACATTCAAACTGACCTTGTTTATGATGTCCTATTCACGTTCTTCATGGGGAGGAGTGCATGGTGTGCATGGGGGGCCATCGGTACCTTCACCGTGAGGAATGGTCACAGGGCTGGAGCAGTCATAATGCGCAAGACGCATTGCAATCTTGAAAGTGAACAGATTACCGCAATATTTCGCAAAAATTGTGAGATTTGAAAAATAATCTGGAAAGTGAAAACCGAAACTACGGATGACTCACTCTGTCGTTAACATTCATGTCCATGAAATCATCTGCCATCTAAATTTGTTTGAATTTAGAAACAACAACGACTGTTTTTTGGCACTTACAGCGTGGATTGGAGAAGATGTTAGAAAAGGATTGTATCCAGAAGGTGAATTTGCACGGCCAAGCGGAGCACTAGCTAGCTGCTGAGTGATGTCTAAGATACCGTCACTGTCAACAGCAATTATGCACCAGATTGGCTCTGCAAAACGTACTTACATAGGTTGTTGTTTGTACGCTTGATTTACTTGATTATAGGGAGGGCGTTGACCAAACAAAATGGAGCTTATGCAACTTTATCATTCAGACATTCAAAACGCAAACTGCAATAACTGGAACATTGAACTTGTGACGAACTTCTCTGCTCCACTACTAGTATTCAATCACAAAACTGCAACTGATGATGCACGACAGGATTTATGAATAAGAAGTAAAGATTCTATGAAAGATCGATCTATGCGGTTGTTTAAGTAGCGAACTCGAAAGGTGGAGGGAAGCGTTGTATCAAAGATAAGGAAAAGAACTGCAAAATCTTTCAAAATGTCTGTACTGAGAACTCACCACCAAATGGTACACTCTGTGGGGTGTTCAATTGCCAACGACTTTGATAAATTCCTGGAGTCGATGGACTGATCATTTCTACATTCAATTCTGCTTCGCCACCTGGCCCAAGACATGCAACCGGTACTCTTCGCTCACACGAAAGCGGAGTTCCTGTTTGAACAATGACTTGGTTCGCAAATTAGATAGATAAGACCGCTATGATGAAGCTAAACAGTTCACCAACATACCGTCAACAAAACATAAAGCGGTTCCCTGAGGCCAATGAACTCCGCCAGTATTTTTGACTCGCCAGGACTTCACAAAGCGGGTCTTTGGAGGAACGGACTCACCCTAAGACACATTCAACGTACTTTCAGGTGCTTTTCGCCAAAGCAAAACGATTCTACCATATTCAATGATGTGACATGAAAAGATACGAAATTACCTCGCCAATCGTGACGTCTCTGACAAGTTGCATGTTTAGTAAGGGTAAGTCTACACCAATTTCATTGACATTGTTAGCGTGACCGTGATCGTAATACGCTCCTACAGCATCTTGGAGATTCCTATAGAAAGAGCCTTTCGAAAAGCTTTCATCCAATAAGTATAGGCACACTAACCAATTCGACATGTCCAGGAAGAATGCACATAATTCTGGAGAAAGCGAGACGTCCCCAAGGATACTTTGAAATTGCTTCACTAGCACCTTAAATACATTGTGACAAACGAGTAGAAAAAGGGGAAAGATCTTTGCAAAAAGGATAGCGAAAAAGTAAGGCAATAAACCGACTTACATCTTTATCGCTAGTCCCTAAGCAAGATAGCTGACGAATGAGCATATTATCGATATCATCGGTTTCCATGGACTAAAAACTATTGCATTCAGGGTGACGACTGAATGATACAAACGACAACAACAAATGACGGCGATTCAGAAATGGGATCGAGAGGTCATCAGCAGACTACTACTAACAGAAATAACTACGCCTTTTTATGGTAGTAGCTTGCAGTCTTAAATATTGGGATCAAAGGTGAGAATATTGATAAAGATTGACTGAACAACCCAATGAACATGCGAACAAGTAAGGGAAGAGCTTTGTTTTGTTTTTGTCCGCAAACGTGTGTGCTGCGAAAAATGGGGAATTATGAACATTCGAGAAACCCCCCATTTTGCTTGTATTCAATGTAAGTGTGCAAGGGATCATTAGAAGATCATTTGAACAATGATAGAAGAGAACCTTAAGCAATCAACTATAGCCAAATATAATGCCACACCCAATTCCGCTAACTCAAAGGATAGGGAAGTGATCACATTAGAGGACTCCAAATCAGGTCGTTAGCATAATTAGAAAATCAGCTGAAAACTGATGCACGTGTTTTAAATAAGGATTCTTGTTAACCATAAAAAAGTGATGAATGAAAACATCTCTAGAAAAGAAGCACGACAAGAAGCAAGGCATGGAATGGGTAAAAGAGGAATTTTCGTTGAAAACAGCATACACGACTGCGCAAACGCAATATTATAGTTTACTTTGAAGTCTATCAATAAAAGAACGCTGAAAGACTGTATACAAACAGCAAGCAAGAAAAGACCACAATAAGCAGGCTGACAGACAACAAAATGAATGTTGCAATCAAATTTGGCAGCTATACACTGCATGGGAACAATTGAGAAAGGTCGTACCTAGAACGTAACAAAAATAGAGCAGGTGTAACATAAATACTTATTGATGTGTGCCCCAACAGCACTGAGTAATGCGTATCTCGTTTAACAATAACCGTTACAAAAAAAGTGAAAAGTTTCTATGAAACATGGGGCAGGTTGTTTTTCTGCAGCGACGCTGCAGCTGCATTTGCGCAGAAATTCTGTCGCGGCGCGTCGTTGCTGCGAGAGGCCGACAAAGGTAATATGTTTGATGGATTCTGGTTTGTTTGATTGACATTGTTTAGAGCAGTGTCTAAGCGAATGAGTCGTACACTGAAAGCTTTCATTTGAATAATAAGTTCAGTAACGGAAAAAGTGAAAACAGGAACAGCTTTCGAGTATAAGAAAAGTACCTTTGACTTGAGGAATGGCCACTATGCTTCCCTCCCCATCAACTACAACATGTACAAAGCTGGCCAAATGACGGATCACATATCTCGGCAAAGCGAAAAATGAAGTACCAATAAAAGTTAAGACAATTATCGCGTAGCCCTCCAAGTATAGAATCTCAACGTATTGGACTTACCACTAGGAAATCCCGTGAAAACATGTTCGAGTCTATTGAACAATGTGTGCAACAGCATTTTCGATTATCCTAGTCATGAATTGGATTAAATTCCATACGCCATTCACTGAGCGTTATTCTGTCACCCTAGGTGTGCAACTGCACACGTACGGGTACCCACGCCTAATTCTCATAAGGCAGGACGGCAGCCCTCACAGTTTTGTGCCTCAATACTCGTGAATAGAAAGCGTTGTCGGGAAGGGGCAAACAAGAATTCTAAATAGCTGAATTAACAGAGGATCTACACACCCTACCACAGCTGAGCGACGTTTACTGATGGCGACCTTAGCGACCCCAGTAGCAGTACTGAGCTCGCAAAGTTACGACCTCTTGGGTGTATATCTGTTCAACCAACCTCTCAAAACTTAGTTTAGATGCGTCAGGATGATAAGCTGGTCTTGACAAGCGAAAAGTGATCAATTTTTCTTTTGAGTTAGTTGAGCAGTTCGCAACATGAACAACTGGCATTCCTTCTCCAGTTCGTGAATGATACAGGTTGTGTAAAACCCTGGATGACCGCGCGCATTGTGACTTCAACATCAACTTGCGCAAACGGTCATCGCGATGAGCAGTCAATCTTGCTTAAACTATTTCGTTTTTGTGGTGTTCGCTAGCTGAGCATATTGGGGGTAAAAGTACCGGGCGGCTGTTATTATTGGGATTCTGTGTCTCACCCGCCCGAAAGGAGAGAACAGCGCGTGCGCGCCAGCTCTGCATACTCTATACCAATCGGATCGGGCCGAAGTTGGCATAGTGCGTGTCCGCATTGTATGGTGTTATGTCTCGGTTTTGCTATAGGAAGTCGTGGTAGGCCTGTCCACTCCCTACCCATTTTTTCGCTATTTGGCAGTGCTTCGCACGCGCGATCTCACGCCAGCGTTTCGGCACGTTTCTGGTTGAGACTGCATATGAGCGTCGCAGTAAATTTTGAGCTGTTTGGGCTGGGCAAGGATATGGCCAGGCGTACGTTTCCAAATGTGATTCGGATGAGTACTGTAATGGTGCATTACGTGAATCAGAACGTCTGTTCAAAACCTACTGCAAGTTCTGTCACAGTCCGAAAGTGTAGAGGTCTGGAGCCCCACGTGAACCTTTGCAGATCTTCGTCACCTAATGTGCAATGAGATATGCCAAGTGGACAGGCCAGGTAGCAAATTGGGTCATCAATGTGAAGGTCGCGTAGTTGCAAGCTTTTGGCTTTGTTACAATGGAACTGGTGGTGCTAGCAGCAAGATATGTACATTCTGAAACTCACATTTCTTCTCACAGGAATCACCGCAACGGTGTGTTTTCGTATCTACCCTTACCAATGGTTCTTCTGTCCGGGAGTACGCGTCGCTAGGGTTTTGCGTCAAGCCTATGCCTGCTTGTTTGCTCTCGCTTCAACCTTTTCGCTCTCTCCGATAGTGGGCGTAGGCAGCACAAGCCCTTAGCGCTGGTAGCGTACAAATTTGACCAACGGTCTGGCCCGATCCTTGGGATAGACTGTACATAGGCCTGCTGTGTTGTACACTACAAAATAGTGCACTAATACAAAGCGACCGTGGAATGATAATGATATGGCGAATCTGGCCGGAACACATACTAGACAGTCTATAGTGGATTTTCCGCTCAATATACCCTTTGTCAACCAGATTAGCGGCTGGAAGGCCACCGCTCGCTCCCGCGACGCAGTCTGCGTCTCTCTCGTGAGCTGTTCTCTGATCATTCTTTAGCCATAACTAGGTCGCGAAGCCTCACCTTCCAGCCGCCAATCCAGTTGACAAAAGTAGCGTGCTTGCTTTGTCGAAATTCTGCGTTATGATTTACGCGTCAAAGAATAGCTATCTACAGGCTGTCCCAAAAGTAAGTATACACTTTTCAATTGTTAATATCTCTCTTTCCATTTTGTCTTTTCCACCATTCAAGTATTATTCTGTAGAGGAGGATTCATCTTAAATTTACAGTATCAGGCGAATCACCGAGCGCTCTTCATTACTGTAGGATTACTGTAGGAACTTCGACAAGGGTTTTACTTACTTAGATACTTAGATGGCCCGGCTTCACGTGACGTGCGGGCCCCAGCTCAGAAGTTTCCATTTTTCCCTGTCCCTCGCTTCTGACATCCACGATCTTCTTGGCTGACGTCGGTGGCTGCGTCCACGAGTTCCAGGTGCAAAAATCGTATCCAGCTGATTTCTCAGCTGGTCCATCCGTTCCACGAACACGTCTGCCCATCTCGTTGGAGGTCTTCCTCGGGGACGTTTGGCTTCGCGAGGAATCCACTCCGATGTTCTTAGTGTCCATCTGTCGTCTGTTCTTCTCATTATGTGACCGGCCCATCGGTGTTTGGCTTTCGCGACGTATTCCGCTGGGTCACGAAGACGGGACATTCTTCTCATATCCGTGCTGCGAAGTCCGACTAGATGTTGCTTGCGTCGGGTCATCTTCAGAAGACTGCGCTCGAGCGCTCTGTGGGTGGTCCGTAGAGCTTTCGACGTGGCTACAGTGTCGGCCCAAGTCTCAGCTGCGTAACAGAGCGCCGGGAGAACGGTTGAGTCGAACAGGTGGGCACGAAGCTCCGGGTCCGTCAGTTGGTCGGTGGCTTCCTTCAGGGGCCCGAAGGCGGCCCAGGCTGCTCTTCTTCTCCTGTTGAGTTCTTCCCTCAAGTCGTTCTCCATGTTCATCGAACGTCCGAGATACACGTAGGAAGACGTCTCCATAATCGGGGTGCCTTCCAATTCCATTTCTGCATCTTCGCAAAGGGCGTTCTTCATGAACTGATTCTTCCGATTTATTCGCAGTCCGATCTTCTTCCCTACTTCGTTTAGTTCCTTCAGCATCGTCTCTGCTTCGGTGATACTGCTCGAGAAGAGAACGATGTCGTCCGCAAAACGAAGGTTGGACAGGAATCTCCCATCAACTCGTATGCCTCTCTCGTCCCAGTCCAGTGACTTCATCACCCACTGCAAGGCCGCGGTGAACAGCTTCGGCGAGATTGTGTCGCCTTGTCGGACCCCCTTCCCGATTGGTATGATCAGGGGGCGATGGAATAGCTGCATCGTCGTTGTACAGTCCTTGTAGCAGTCGGCTAGTGTCCTCACGTAAGCTGGGTCCACTCCTTGATCGACTAGCGCAGACAGGATGGCGTTGGTTTCGACGCTGTCAAAGGCTTTCTCGTAGTCGACAAAGGTTAGGACGAGAGGCAGTCGGTACTCCCGGCAGACTTCTATGACCCTCGAAACGGTCTGGATGTGGTCCATGCAGCTGAATCCTTTGCGAAATCCAGCTTGTTCTTGGGGTTGGGCTTCATCCAGTGTCCTTGATATGCGAGCGAGGATAATCTTCGTGAAAAGCTTGTACAGACTCAGCAAGCATATTGGACGATAGTTCCGAAGATCCTCCCGTTCACCCTTCTTGAAGAGAAGGACGGTTCTTGACGTTCTCCACTGGTCGGGAATCTTCTCCTTCTGAAGGTAAGATGTCAAATGCGACGCTAGAATCTCGTGTAGACGGTGTCCTCCGGCTCGCAGAAGTTCGACGGAAAGATGATCTGGTCCTGGAGCCGTGGACGTCTTCATGGTCTGTATCGCGATACGCACTTCAGCAGGTAGAATTCGTGGTGGTACTTCTCCAGTGGGAACAACGGGCATCTGCACGGGTGTTGGTGAGCGGAAGAGGTTGGTGTAGAAGTTCTTCGCGATAGATTCCATCTTGTATCGGGAAGAAGTCGGAGTCCCGTCTTCGTTCAGTAGTGCAGCCAGCGGTACGTGATATTCGCAGAGGTCCCTTCGGCACTTCTTAAGACTTCGTCTTCTTTCTGCTGCTTCCAGTATCTTGGCTTGCCTGTACTTCCTGAGATCCTCTTGCAAAGCTGTTCTGCAACTGGTGTTGGCAATCAGTCGCTCGAGATGAGTTGCATTCGGATCCTGCCTCAATGATCTTCTTCTTTCGAGCAATTCCTTGGTGGTCTTCGAGATGCGGTCCAAGTTCTTCTCAGAAGTCACTGAGGCGCATTCTCCGCAGGCTCGCAGTCCTTTCAGAAGCCGGTCGTAGTCGTACGTTGGGTCCTCCTCGATGGGCCAGTCACAACTTGATATGAGCTCTTCCAGCCTGTTAGCGTCATAAACGACTTCCTTCCTTCTCGCACACTATGACAGACTTTTTTTTCCAGCCTTCGGCTGAGTCGTATCTTCGCTCGAAGGAGGCGGTGATCGGAGCCACTACAGAAGGATGGAACTACAGAGACATCGAGTAAGCTCCACCTTCGGTTGGTGAGAATGTGGTCGATCTCCGCGTGGGTCGTTCCGTTGGGCGATTCCCATGTCCACCGGCGATGTTCCTTCTTCATAAAGATGGAATTTCCATGGAAAAGTCGTGCGGCGGAGAGAAGCCCAACAAGACGGTTGCCGTTTTCGTTCCGGAGCCCATATCCAAACTTCCCGATCCTATATTCCCTTTCCAGTGGCATTCCGATTTTCGCGTTGAAGTCGCCCACAACAAACTTGTAAAAGGACTTCTCGTTGCGGACGACCTCCTCCACATCTTCGTAGAAAGCATCTAGTTCTGATTCGTCAGCTGCTGATGTTGGAGAATAGCAGTTGATGATGCTGATGGTCTTCTGATGTGGAGGTCGTAGTCGTAGGATGCCTAGTCGAGGTGATAGGATCTCGTGCGAATCGACAAGATGGACGATAGATGGGTGGACGACAAAGCCGACGCCTCCCACGTTTCGTGACAAGGGTTTTAGGCCGCTGAAAGTCACATTGTGCCTTAGAAAAAACCAAACAAGCCAAATACTCTCATACTATGGTAATGAAAGCCGCTGATTTCGAATGAGATTTCCACTTTACTGTGATGCTTCTTTCCAAAGTTATCTCAGGTAAACCGTAATAACCGAGTTCCCAGTATTTGTCAGAGATATGATTACACCGTAAAGAAAGCTGAAAACACTCGTAGAAAGTTGTGTAATGGAATCAGCGTGCGCGAAAACCCTAGTACACGATTTTTCAGATTTGTTGAAAAAAATTTTGTCGGATGCATATTTCACAATGGTTCCATGGTATGCTGGAGTTCTTACCATAATCCTACAGTGACGAAGAGTGATCGGTGATTCGATCAACACTGTAAATCTAAGTTGGCCTCCTCTACAGAATGATACTTGATTGTCAAAAAAGACCCATTGGGAAGAGAGACAATGACGCGGAAATGCTGATTGCGAAAATGATTTTATTTTGCATTAAGGCATTTTTGAGGTATGGCAAGCACACCGTATATGGTCATCTTCGAATTCGCTTCAAACTCTTAGGAAGCGGCAGGCTTTCTCCACTTAGCTATCAAGGAAATTGCTCAGTTTTTGAGGGCAACGGAAGAAACTCCAAGTTACAACAAACTTAACAGTATCCATGCAACTGTTAGATTATAGCAAATGTAACGTTACCCGTATTTTATGAAACTTGGGTGCTTTAAAAAATTGTAATACGCAATCCCTTGCCAATTCAGCATTATTGTGTCAACGCCGATGAACATTCTTTTTCGAAAGCCTTTACTTTCAAATTAAGAAATTTCATAGTGAGATGTAGTGGAATAGCATGAATCTTGCTCGTTGTGTAGGCATAGTCAGTTGTCCAGCAGTGCCAAACATGGATATTTTGGAACTTCTAGCTGGAACTGCGAGAAATTTGAAAGTACATTCGTTTTGTTCTTTTTTGAGAAGAGGAAAAATGCTTTTACTCAGTCTCCATATTTTTCACCATTAGAAAGCTTTGAAAGCTTTTATCCCTACTACCCATTGTACTAAGAATAAGTCCACTCTCTCTGCATAAACCAAAAACTCTTCACAACTTTATGCTCTCGATTTTTGTACGACACATAAAGAACACAACCTCGCATAAAGTTTACGTGAACTTTCCTTGGTTCAGAAATTTTTGGCAGTTGGTTTTCAAGCGGCATTTTGTAGCACATCTCTATCCAAGCGCACCCACGCTATAGAATTGACCGCTTTCCTTGGTGGATTAAGGGAGAGTGAGGAGAAAAAATTCCAGATCTGATCTCTTGTTCTCAAAAGGGCTGGGTCTTCAACTCATTTCCGCAAAAAGAAAACATGCATAGGAAATAAGGAAAAAAGAGCTTTCAGATAATAAATTTTTACGGAGAATGGTTTCTTCTTCGGAAATAGCGCTAAAGCTGTAGATATGCGAACTTAAGTGTGTTAAGACCTAATGGAAACACAGGACCTTATTTTTCATTTCTGCACTGCTCAACAACTGTTTTGCCTGTTGAATAAAAAAAACAAGTCAAAGAACTCGACTCATATAGTTTGTGGTGCGCCAGACATGAGAAAGTTGAGCATAGGAAATGACCGAACTTTTAAGTCATACCGCCTTCACTCACGCACATAAAATATGTAAAATTTATGTATAGAAACACAAGAGCTAATGGACTCGACTGACAAACTTGTTTATAGTCCAATGTTTTATCGAGGTATGATGTATTCTATACAATTCAAATCCATAAATCAAACAATCAACTTTATTCTGCAACGGCGAGTTGGGTTTAATGCGAATCGAACTCTTTCTCTAAACATCTTTTGATTTTTGAGGAGTAGACTGGCATTAGAATGATATTCTTTTCGTTGACAGAAGTTGAAGTCTTATGCAGCTGTAAGTTCTTCTGCAGCACCAGTGGTGATGAGGTGAGCAAACGCTTTGTAGTCGACTTCGTTGTTCTCAATTGGAGGTTTGCCCTGGAAAAAAGAATATTTAGAAATTTGATTTCCATCGCTTCGTTTGTCGATGTTTTAGCTTGAGAATGATATTACCTTATACATAGCCTTAATTTCATCATCATCGAGAGGCTCTCCTCGCTTGTTTTGCAGGATCTTTATCAAATCTTCCTCCTTAATCTTCCCACTGTCCTTCTTGTCGAACATGGCGAATGCACCGACGATCGTGGCTTCGGGATCAGTTCCTACAAGATGTTTGTCTCAGTCTAATTCGTAATCGGATAAAATTCAGCAATACCTGTCAATCGCTCTCCGAATAACGTAAGGAAGACGGTGAAGTTGATTGGTCCTGGAGCTTCCTTGATCATGCTCTCGATTTGTGAATCAGAAGCGATTTGTCCCATCATGGCGTACAAGTCCTTGAGGTCATTCTGGACAAAAATGATTAAGGTGTTGCGAAAAGACTGTATAGAGTACGAACCTTGTCGATGATTCCGTCTTTGTTCTGGTCCATAATGCTGAAAGCCTCTTTGAATTCATTGATCGTCTTCTGATCGAATGAAGCGACTTCGGATCCAGACCTGGCCTTCTTGCTTGACTTCTTCTTGGCGGCCTTTGACTAAAGTTAGTTGAAAAAAATTAAAATTGCCCTGGTTCAGCGACCCAATAACTCTAGGAAAAGCATACATACCATTGTGGACTGTGTGGTTTCGAACCAAGCGAGGGAGCCTAAACTGAAGCTCTCTCATTATATTGAAATTCAAGCTGGTACGTGAGACAAAGAAAACGCGAAGCAGGAAGCGAAGTCCATTGAGAACTACTAGCCAACAGATGTTTCTTTGTAAAAATGCCATGAGTGAAATGATTTGTGAAAGCTAATCGATGACTGATCTGTATGTGAGCAGAGGAGTGAGTGAGCGAAAGCGAGAGGGTGAGCCTGAGCCCGTGCCCGAGAGGTGCCGAGGAGTGCGCTGTAACACCCCCTCCAATTTTTGCCCGCTGAGATAACCGGAATCCGCAAACATACGAAATCTACGGCGGGATCCGATCTACGCACGATGTGCTGTACGAACGAGAGCAAACTTGAGCATGTTTCCAATCTTGATTATCTGAGTTCTCCAGGTGGCTGCTAAAATGATTTTCAACCAGCGTTAGGCGAAAATTGGGTTGGCGGGCGTCTGCTTCGCAACGGCTTGTGCCGTTTCGAAGCTACCGCATAGTAGGTCTACCGTATAGTAGGTCGTGGTAAGAAATTATGTCTGCGTCTCTTCATTCCCTTTTGTCTTTGCTTAGCGAAATTTCAGCTCAAGGCGCTAAGAAAGCTCCCAATGATACGGACGTGCTGCCTCCACGTGAAATGTTTCGCCTACTCCAGGTTGAAGCATACTGTAACCAAAAACACTCGCTCAAGCTTTTCAAATTTCCGTTTGTTCGAGGAAAACCTACTTTGACATCGCAAAGATAATTACGCAGAACCTGTCAGTACACAACATGTGTCAAACTTTTTAGTCAAACTCAGAAAAACTTCATGTTATGAACTTTGAAAGCTCAGACAACCACCCATTTTGTCAAAATAAGCTGAGGTTAACTGTTGTGGAGCTTAACATGGAAATTGCACATTCTAAGTTATAAATAATACTGAAAGGGAGGAGATGTCTATGTACTGAATTCGTACCTGTAGAAACCTTTTTAACACAACTACTGCTATTATTCGAAACCTTAATAATGAATGTATTTCATACCCAAATCGTCATAATTGCCTCTATAATATAGCGGCTAAAAAACTTAGGAAAAATATTCTTTACAATTTCCACAAAAACAGTGGCAAAAAGGGAAAATCTAGGAATATCTTCTTCAAAATTTCTACAACATAACAAATTCAAGCGCCTGGTTCCCTGATATCATATATTGCATTTCTGATAGATCGCTTCATCTTTGCTAAATTTCAGGTGAAAGATGCGGACAGAAAATTTGAATTAGGTACAAAAGTGAATGCGTAAGTGATATTAGAGTGTTCGTAAAACCTTTTCAGCTAGTGAGACAACTGTGTGGAAGATGCAATGTTATTAGGTGCTTAACGGGAGTGCTAACTAAAGAGAAGCAGGATATACGAAATCTCTAATATAGCTTGATTCCATCCCACACATCGAGACATTTTAAAAGACAGATGAAGTGTTTTTGCTGTTGAAAGCAAAGCGAGGCGATGCTTCGCCAAGCATACAGTTCATCTAGTCAAACTTGCGGTGAAAATATAAATAATGAGGTACTTGCTTCATGGAAGTGCGGGACTTCTTATTAAAATTTTCGAAGAGCAAGATTCGAGTGAATTTCTGAGAAGTGTTTTGAATAATCTTGCAGACAAACAATGCATTCTGTATCAGTTTTTACACAACTGCGTAAAGTATGTGAATCCGGGAAGTATGTGACTTCAAATCAACTGTATGAGCATGTAAGAATGTAAGAAACGTTAGTTGAAGCAAGACTACGCTGAAAAAGTGCGACATATCCTTCAATCAGATGCTATCGATCGCTAGTTCTTGTGAGGAATGCATAAGAAGTGTTAAGAGGGAAGTGCTATTGTAAAGAAGGGGAAAAAAGAAGTCCGGAAGCAAAGATTGAACTGAAACAGTGGAGAGACCACCCAGGCAAGCAGCGCACATCGTGTCGAATGGATAACGTTGCAAAACGGTCGGGGCTCAGCCGTGTGGCGTCGCGCGGAGCTCGGCGACCGTAGGCGTCGAGGGCGGGGCGATGCTGTAAAGTTGTTGAGAATCACAGCTAAAATAGCCTCGGAGCCCGTCGTGGTGTAACTGGGAAGAGCCTGCCGCGACGCGACTCACTCTCAGCTACTGACTCTCTCACAGAATGGTGAGTTCCACCAGCTACCGCTTTATGTGCGTTAGTGATTGAGATCGCCGGGGCCAATGAGGGACAATGCCGGGCGCAACTTGTGCAGTGATCTCGAAATCACAAACGCCCATCTTTCGCAACAGCTAACTCTCTTTCAAGCTAAGAGTACTGAGCACTAACCATAGGCACACACATCAGTTTTGGAAAGCTAACATTGCAGTCGAAGGCAGCCAAGAAGAAGTCGTCCAAGAAGGCTAGATCCGGATCGGAGGCCGCTCAGTTCGATCAGAAGACGATAAACGAGTTCAAGGAGGCCTTCGGCATTATGGACCAGAACAAGGACGGGATCATCGACAAAGTAAGGATACTGCGCGGCGAAAACCGAAGTATCGTACTTTAATTTTTGAACGGAGTTTTCCCTAAAATGTTGCGCTATTCAGAATGATCTAAAGGATTTGTATGCCACAATGGGTCAGATTGCCTCAGATAAACAACTAGACGATATGATCAAGGAAGCTCCTGGACCAATCAATTTCACCGTCTTCCTCACTTTGTTCGGCGAGCGATTGACAGGTGCAGCTGTTTGCTGCGTTAGAGCTATAGCATTGTTGCAAAAAATTCAGCGAATGAAAAATATAGGAACCGATCCGGAGCAAACTATCGTTGGTGCTTTCGCCATGTTCGATAAGAAAGAAACTGGGAAGATTTCAGAGGAAGACTTGCTGAAAATTCTCCAGAATAGGCGAGGAGAGCCCCTGAATGAAGATGAAATCAAGGCTATGTACAAGGCGAGTCTTGAATGAGCGGTGGTTGTTTGTGAGAGGAAAGAAAGAGGAGAATGGCAAATTTTCATGTTACGGTTTTGAAAAATGCCTTCTTAGGGTCATCCACCAATCGAAAACGGTGAAGTCGACTATAAAGCCTTTGCTCATCTGATTACCACCGGAGCTCAGGAAGAACTTGCAAACGCGTGAGCCATTGTCTTCCATCGCCAATTCCTTTCGCTGTGGGAAAGACGCGAGCGAGCTCAACGCGGCGATGGCGAATCGCAGTCGCCGGCAATCGCGCGTTGCGCCGGCTCGCCCTCTAGGACGCACTCGCGGTCGCATCACGTTGTTTCGTTCCATTCCGCGCATCTAATCCCGAATATTCCGCCTGCCTTTCCGTGCTTCGGATAGTCAAGTATGGCCCGGGTGGCCCGGCAGCCGCGATGCGCTTCCCTCCGTCGGCAGAGGAGAAACTACTCGGTTCGCGACCGCCGATCACCCAGCCTAACGCGCGATTCGGCTGCAGCGCGCCCACTTCCCACGGCTAGTTCCCCTTATCAATCCTCGCTTATTTCGATGATTTTTACGTCAGTGTTCTGTTCACACCACACTTCATACAGTTGTGCAAGATATGTTTATGTTTGCATTTGTCACTCACACAGAGATGTATTATAATGAAAGAGAGATCATTAATCAGTGCAATTCGCCGATGAACGGTGTTTGTTCGCCAGCCCAAGGTTGCAACTCTCCCGATGCGAATTTCCAGAAGACTGCTCCACCTATGGCGTATATTGCTACCGTTGTGTAGAAAATGATGTTCCATTCAGCAACGGTCTTAAATCACGAAATTAATAAGCAAGTCTTCTCTTGATCTTGTCTCAAACAAACATGAAAACTTACTCCGGATGTGACAATATATCCAACAAGTAGCGGACAAATCATTCCCGGCAGCGTAGCCAAAGTATTCGACAGTCCCATTAGATGTCCAGCAAACTTAATTTTCAATTTTCAAAAAGTTTGTCAAGGTTTCTATGGAAGATCTCACCTGAGGAGCAAGATCCAAGTGATTCACAGAGAATCCAGCCCAACAAATGCCTCCTAATCCTATAGATATTGCGAGGTAAGCAACTAGAAAAGGTGGTGACGACGTGACAGATGCCAGTGCAAGGAACAGAGCTTGACCAGCGAATCCTTAAAAATCTTTGGTAATTAGGAAAGCTCAAAAATTTGTATCATACTACTCACCTGCCACACAGAATCTTCGTCGTACGGTCAATGTGTCGATGTTACGTTCTTTACGGAGGTAGTCAGCCAATTGTCCTCCCCAAACCAGAGTGCATCCCATCAGCAAATATGGTAATCCAGCCACAAAACCTGCCTAAAAGTTCTCAATCAGCTGCGCGTCGTGTTGTCTTTCAATCCTTGAATTTAGGGAAAGCAACATCCTAGATCGTATTTGAATCAAGTCCGGCTTCCCACTTCGTAAGTCTATAGGAGCAGATATCTGCTTATTCTAGAAGGTAGAAATTGTAATTGATTTTATTGATGATGTCATATTTACCTCCCTGAGGTTTAGAACTGGCTGATATCATGCTCGAAATTTCCTCTTCTATAGTGGTGCATATTGAGCTTATGAGTAAAGCAGACTACAGCGTAGATTCAAAAACTGGGGGAAAGGTCGAGGCGCAGATCTGATCTTTCACTCACAAGGGAAGGATAACTGGTGACCTTTTGCGACATGGTTTACATCAAATTGCTTGCTTTGAAATGCTGATTTCGAAACTGTTCGTTATCTGCGGATCGTTTTTCTATAGAGAATTAGCGTTTGTAAAAGCGAACGCAAATTGTTCGTACCGACCGAGATAAAACCGGCATCCATTGTGCAATAATCGACAGCGCTAACTACTACACCATTCGACACCTTTAGGACGTACCAAAACTACTCGTACTCTTGTGCAAGCAAGTCAGATGCAGCAAGATACGTCCGAAGAATTGTTCCGCAGATATGGAATACGGTTTTGAGATGAGTGTTTCAAGCTGAATGTCGTGACACATGTCACATATCGAAAGGCCACGGTCACCAAGTATCCTCTCCCCGTCAGTAAGGCGGAGAAACAACCCAATGATTTGCCTCAGAGACCTTTTGAAAGCCAGACAAAGTAGATCAATTGGCTCAAAATCTGAGGTGACCCACTGTCAACCTTTACGGCTTCTACTGGACAACTGCGGAAAATACAGAAGAAACTGCCGAGGAAATATTCTCAAGGTCTAATGACTTATTACTACAGTTCAAACTGATTTCGTTCCTTCATTCACCTATTATCTATACGCCTCCTTTACTAACCGCCCATACAGTGGCAAAATACAAAGCCTCAAACATTTTCCTTTATATTGTTTGCACGCCAGGCAATGACAACTGCCACGATGCACATCTGACGACATAAACCCTCAAAAATGCGTTGGCTTGTGCTTGCGCTTACTTTCAAAACCTTTTCTTGCAGATCCAGCGTTTCGAGAAAAGAACTGTGCGTACAATTTGTGTCAGTTGAAGCCTATCTGCTGCCTCTTGCTTCGACAAGTTCAAGCAAAGTGATATCCGTGCAGAAAGCGCGAGCAGAACGCTGGATAAGCAAAATCACAGACACTGCAAGCAGCGATGAGAGCATAAGAGAGACGCGCAAATACAACGCGCTGTCGCGCAGGAGCCACTCGTCGTCAGCGCAGCCAAAGTTTGTGCTGTCAGAAACACAGTCATATCCACTGCAAGCACTTTGGGGACTGTAATCGTAAAATAGAAAGACCTTGAAAAACTATCAAATCAAGAAAAAAAAGAATTTTCTACCTTTTGAAGTTCGTAATTGGCAAGTTCTTTGAGCATCCGTGGTAGATGGGTGAGCATTGTGTAGAAACCCCAGTTCTCACAGAAATGTGCTATCATCACTGCCCACACAGGTTTGCTTTTGATCATCTCAGCCCATGGCACAATCTGAATTGAAACTGGACAATCGATCAATTCAGTAAGATAAAGAGAAGAAAAGAAATCAAGAGAGAGAATTAGGGAGCCAATTCGGGCTCGGCTAAACATTTATCTTCAGGTAAAGTTATCCAACAAAGATATTTTTCCGCTGCTTTGATTTTCAAGCAATCCCATAAGCCTGAAAATAACCTTGATTCTCCACATTTCTTTCTGCCTCCACCTGTCCTCCGGTCTCCATAGAGCTATTTTGAATTTATACGTTGTTTCGGCATATGTACACAGTCGCCTAAGTTTCTTTGCTAATGACAATTAGACATTTTCGAAAAAAGCTCGCCCTTGAAGCCTGAATGTTACTTGATTTCTTCTACATTTCCGCTTTGCTTGGGACGATGAACTTGACTAAGGTAGATGATTACATTTCATGTAACTCTAAGTGGATGTTCCATTGTCAAATCCCTGGAAACTAAACAATCGCACACAGTAGCAAAGAACCTATTTACTGTATTCAATAAATCACTAGGGCGGCCTTCAAGCCTCAAGTTCATTAAAAAAAATGGAACCATCGACTACTTTTTCTGAGTACACTGAAAAAAAAAAGCTTCTCTCATGACGCCCGAAATTCTAGATTCGCTCTGGTCAATGTGACAGTAGAAGATTGCTAGTTTACAAACGTGACGAGTTTTGTGTAAAATGAGGACAATTCGAATTGAAAACTGTCTTGTCCGCATTGCGACAACTACCGTTATCGCCAATTCAGCACCACACCTTCAGCATTATTTCAGAACCGGGACTCTTTAGCTCGTTCAGATTAGAGCATCTAAAGTTCCCCTAAGCATATAATATATCCTTTGTAATATGGCTCAAAATTGGGCCTTCAGAGTGGGTAAAATCGTGCTATAAAAGGCACAAGACGACAACAAAAAGTGCATTCAAATTATATTACGTACTTACGCCCAATATAAGTGGTTTTCCTTTATGTGAATCAGTATCTACAATGTAAATGTGCACAAAGATTTTAGTACAGGCTTTCGGTGCTGTTCACGCGTAGTATTTGCTCAAAATTGTTTTTAAAGTCTTCAAAAAGACATGCAATTCTTCTTCAGTTTTCGCTCAAAGAATGTACAACTCGAAACACAAAGCTTCCAATTGCTCCTCACGTCATACAATGGCATCCTCGCACATGTTTCTTCAATAACAGCGAGGGAGGGAAGAGGAGCAGTTGTGCACTGCCAAGACAGTGTAATATCTTGGCAGCTAGTGCACTGGGCCAGGATACGCACAATTGCTAGGGATTTCCGAGGACAAGAAGTGAACGCTGGGCAGAACTCACGTAATGAGTGTGGCCAACTGCATCGCGCTGGAGAAGTGTGAGCTCATCGGTACTGATGTGAGCGTCGGTGGCTGGAAAGTCGCTGACACGGCGTGCCCAGACTAGACACCAAAGCAGTCCAAGGAGTCCTAAAAGGAAATGTTAACTTGGTAACTCGAGATAAAGACGCCTTTCCATTCAGAGAATAATTCAATGTATGCTCAAGGTTCACGAATCCATAGAGCGTGTGATTCACGAGGGAGGGATCCTGTGGCAAAATTTGCAATTGTTCTCAAAAGCATCCATATGACTTTTTTGACTGGTTTAGTTATCCGAGTTTGAGGTATATTCAACATATGATGACAGAAGAAAGATTTAGGACGTCCCAAAGCACACGATCTTCCCTCACTACTGATGATTTCCGAGGAAGATCATATTCCTATCTTTTTCCGTCTAGTGGCAGGGATGAAACGGAATTGGATATTCTTAAGTTCCTTTATTTTTGAAATTTGTTCAATTTTTTCTCAAAAAGTGTGGGATTCACGAGGGATGAATCCTCTGCCAAGATTTGCAAGAATTCTCAAAAGCATCCATATGACTTTTTTCTATCGCGGATAACAGAAACTCTGAATTTGGTAAAATAACTAACCTTCTCAAAGCGTCCCTGTTGTGAAAATCATAAAATTTGTTATAGCTCCTCCCCCCTCCTCCTGCACTTACAATATGTAAAAAAAACCTTTTGCGATCAGCATCGCTGTGAGGAATCAGTCACAGCAAAAGATAAACATATAAGCTTTCGTATCTGTATAGTAACGCGCACACTATCGACTCCAGTATTAACGGAAGAAGAGTGGGGGCTGGAGCCAGTTTTTACTACATAATGATTTTGCTGATGTTGAAAACTTGAGCTTACAGTATGCGCAGAATGTGCACGTAGGAGTCTATAATTCTACTATGAATGGCTTATTGGGGATACCTAATCTAAAAGGGGTAAGATTATGTTCTTCTCAAAGGGAGTAGAATAAGAATATCCATTTAGTTCACTGGTTGGTCTTGCTTTCTCCTGCAAAATGGTAAATTTTATGCCCTATACGGAAATAATACAATACGCCGTCGAAAGCTGTCGAATATATAAGAAAGGTTTGATTCGATATCATCAAAATATAGTTGTAGATTGCCCAAAGCCTAGAAATTTTGCAAAGCCCAAAATAGTATTTTCTCATAAGCTGCACAGAAAAAACGGGTGTGCCTTTATATCCTATTTCACGAGAGCTTCGGGAAACAACGCAGTCGAGTAGAGAAGGCAATGAAATCCAATCTCAATTGCATACTGGATATCTGTGAGAAATCTCCAAATGTGTTGAAGCTTACCGAAGAAATAAAAGATGAATGGCCATCCAAGAGCTTGCCCAATGAGCGCAGACAACGGTATTGATATGACTGTACCGAAGTAGGATCCGGAAAATGCGAATGTTGCCAATTTGGTCTTCTCCAGTACTGGAGCCCAATGACTCCACATCACATGCATAGCCGGATAGGTGACACCCTGAATTATTTCAAAAACTACATTTTATACCTCTGAGTCATAGGTCATCCAACCTCAAACACTCCTTCAACAAATCGAGCTAACACAAGAACACCGTAACTGATCTTAGCCAGAGGTGGAGTAAGCAGTGTGAAAACGGCAGTACCTGAAGTGGAAGCCTATGAAATCCACAAAATTTATAAGATTAGGAATACCCACCGAAAACACCTATCAGAAACACATTCTTTCCGCCATAATGATGTGCAAGAAAGCCACCCGGGATCTAAAAAATTTATATTTGAATCCTATTGAGCAGATTCGATATTGCTTGCCATTCACTGACCTGCGTAAGGATGTATCCGTAAAAGAATGAGCCTAACACTACACCTTGCGTCATAGTTGACCATTCTCGAAATTCACCATCTACCTAAAAGCGGATTGTCTTGTACAGTAAGAAGACTTTGCAACTGACTACATAAGAAGACTTTTATAAGTCATTTTATACGAATTTATGCGAGCAGGTAGAGCAATCTTGTACATAGATGATTTACTCCAGAAAATTACAAGTATGTATGTGAACTAGACGCTAGTGCATTTTCGAGGATTTTTTGCGGTTTGGTATAACCTCTCGTGATCTATCACCCAAATATGCGCAATCTTTCCATGCAGATGATCCTGAACTATTTATTCTCTTCATTTGCCTCTCCTCCTGTTTTCTCATAAAAACTTAGAATAAATCATCCTCTTCCATAATCCATCAGGATTCGGAGCCACGATACGATAACCATAAAGAATGTCTTAGCCATTCCGCATAGCAGATGAGCCGACTACCAATGCGCTAACAAGATAAAAGCCTCTTTCAGTATGGAGACGCTTCCGCATACGAAAACAAATAAAATGAAGGATGGGCTATGACTAAACATAATTACTGCTAAACAACAGTACACATTTCGTATACTTAATACATATGCACATTTGGAATAAGTTAGGCAAAAGGAATCATTGTGCAAAAAAAAATCAATTTTACTTGGACATTGTATTTTGAACTTAGGCAAAATCAAGTTTCCTGAGTTGAAGTTTGAATGGAAAATGACAATGCAAAAATATGATTGTTATAGCTTCTTCAGCATTTAGCCTGTCTAATAGCGATAGCTTATGCGACTTTTTCCACTTGTAACTTCAAGCTTTGCCTATAAATTTTGTTGACTATGTGCTAGCTTATGCTAGTTACTGCTTGGAAATTTCACATGCTAGCTTATCCTAATTACTGCTGGAGCATTTGCCGTCATCAATGTGCAAATGAAACAGCCATACTTGATAAAAAGATTTCTTCAGCTAAGAGTCAGAGCTTATTGTTATGTTGTAGAAAGAACTTTACGCTATCACAGAAGCATTCAGTTCTCTAATAAAAACACGCAGCCAGAAACATATTTGGAAAACACCCTCCACTGCATCCAGAGGAACCTGCTAACACATTCGTAACTCGCAATTAAAACCTGGTCAAAGTATTTTGCTTTATGTAAAAATTGACGAAGACATGGCATGTCCTTCGCTTGGTAATCAATTCTATTAGCTCAGCTTTCACATGAAAAAGTGATTCTTTAGACAGCCATAAATGTCCTTGTCAACTCGTGCCATGTATTCCCAAGCCAAATCTTCCAGTTGGTGCAGCTGTTCAGGTATAAATAAACATTAAACTACAACTATACTAAATGCACTCATATCTTCAGCTACAAATTTATAGACCGAAAACTGCCTTCTCAGGACTTCTTTAATAAAGGAATATCAAGAGAAGAAATGTAAAATTCAGATTTTTTTCTGATTTTGGAAACCTTTTTAGCTCTGATCATAGGTGTATAACTGCGACCTGTAATGAAGTACACTACACTCTTCCCCCACTCCCCTCCGCCTTTTATCCCAAAACCTGATAGTCTTGAAAATTTTAACTTTATGGATCTCTCAAACGAATATGAAGTGAGGAGGTGGAGGATGGAGGGAGAGGTAGGATAAGGTGCAAAGAACAAAGTAAGAAGATGATGAAAATAAGTATGCTGATCAATGTTGAAGAATAGAAAAAATAGTTATCAAAGCCGTGTTTTACTAATTGAAGACTGAATACTTATTGAAGGGTTGAAACGCTTAGTGAATGGAAAAGTTAGTGATGGAAACCCGTGATATGGATAAAAATTGACTAATCATAGATATTCAGTAACGTCCATGGTTTATACCCGCCTCGCTCGATCGCAATTTCTGGATTTAACTGTTGTTAATTCAGAGTATTGTAGGTTTACAGTAGAAAGGCTAATTATTTGGGTTCAAAGTTATACATATGGAGATTATCGCCAAGTTGCACAATGTATAACAGTATTTGCATTAATTTTCGCGTCTTGGTATTCTGCAAAATATTACCAATTAGGAATTTGTGTTTTAAGAACAAATTTACCGCTACAAAAGGCGAAGGATCGTAGAGATTCAGTCAGAAATTTGTAAATAAAAATGATGTAATCTTTGCATAATTTTTTCTTTGCAGAGCATGCAGATTTCAGTAAGACCAGAAGCACACGCTTGCTCAAAATAATCATAGATCAAACTCTACTAATTTTTGCTCCAAGAAACTAAAGTTTAATGCGTATAAGCATTCCAAATCGCGGACCTAAAACGGGCATGATAATTCTATAGGACTTCAAGTATTTTTCCTAACATACAAAAGCATTACAAGTACCATTTCCTTAAGGTCCACACGTCAGCAGTCAGCTCCTGAGCTCAGCCCATGATTTTCAACAACGTCTTCGCGGTTGTCTGTTACCGTATTCCCATCGTAACACTGCCATATGCCATCATTGTTCAGAGTGAAAGGATTCCTGGACTCATCGCCAGATAGTCCCTCAAGCGCACTTTGACATAAATTGGTTAATTTTTACTCATTAACAATTTTGGACTATACCAACCACGGATTTTCAGTCTGATAGGGCGAAAAACTCTAATCCTGAAAGAATCTAAGGATCCCAGGCGCTTTCCAGAATATCCTAGCCACATCACTGGTAAATTGACTCCCGATATCGAACAGCCAGGCTACTGAGCAATTAAGCTTGTTGCCTAGCTCTTTGCCGTTTGTTCCTCCACTCCAGCAACTCTATCTCTTCAGGCTTTAATCGAATTTCGAGAAAATTCGCCAGGATGAGAATAGTCATCACGTCATCTGCACAGATGGGAGGAGAATAAAAAAAGCAAAATGAAGTGGAGTGAAACAGCGAATTATGACTTTGTATGTATGCACAAAACATAGTAACCCATGCATTAAATATCAATCTAAGGTATCACTGCTCAACTTTCAATAATACCATAAAGCTACTGAATTTGGAACTTAGAACTTAAATCGAAATAAACCATATGATCCCATTGGACATATAATTTTGCACATCTGACAGGGTGTGGATGTACTCTCCATTTTTTTGAGTACAAATTAGAACGCATGAGACTATAATCCTTCGCTCACGAGCCATAAATCTGACATCGTCCACATGCACGTTCTTTTGCGTGATTGAGGTTATACATTAAAAGAATCAAATAATAAGCCGTTCATTCGGTACTCGACCAAAAGAAATACAGTTCCTACTTTAGACACTGTGTATGAAATGGAATGTACGCTTTAATCCCATTGGTTTATTTTTTGGGTCCATGAGAAAAAAAGAAAGCATAATTTTTGCTCCTACGCTAGGTTTTATAAGAGGTAAAAGCCCTATCTAATCAGGATTTTATATTGCAACTGTCTTTTCAATAAACTTACGTGTACATGAGTTCCATTTACATCCTTACTTGTACCAGAGGTCATTTCCACGATAGCAACACTCAAATTCGCACGCATTGCATAGATGTTGGCAAATCCCAGCAAAGCCAATGCGGCAACAAAATGACGTCGAGCAAGATGCCATTTTGGTGGTCCCAAATCTGAAATCAGACACACATTTTTCACATTCAACAACAAAACTGGTAATGAAATCATGTAAAATTGGTAAAGTAGCAAAACAGCCACGCTTTCGCACGCTACTACGCTATTATTATTTCATGTGCCCGTCAAATGATTAATCGACTTTGGTTCCGCTGCTTTTTCCGTTGCGAATTCGGGCAAAACAAGACAATTCCGTAATGAATTAGTTATGCAGATGGAAGCTGAAGATGTCGATCAAAATAGTCAAGAGCATTTCACTCACTCTGCCAATCACTTTCGTCAGTTTTCAGTCTTTGATACATTAAAGTGATCGGGAACACGTGGACATCGGTGAAGGTTAACGGTGGCCGCCGCTGCGCAGCACGTACGCAGATGACACAGCTCAGGTCGCGCAGATCATTGCGCTGCGATTTGGTGATCTAGCTGGTGATCTGCTTCTGTCTTGCGGTCATCACTATCTCCCCACTAAATCATTACTTCTCCTGCTATCAAAGACTAATCTGATGCGCGGTCATCCAATCAACGCGACTTTGGCCGTACTCGTGTTCATTACAGAGTTATGCGATACACCCTCTGTAAGATATCATGTTTGCTGTGATAACATTTATTAAAAAACCCACCACACCCATAAACTCGGAAGTCTGATCTTTATCAACAAAGCTTTTCAACCAAGGAGGTCAATCAAAAATGATACGCTCTTTAACAATTCCTTTTGATTGGGTTCGCACTGCGAACTTAAGTACAAAGTGCTGTGTGAAATGAATAGCAAGATGTCAACATGTCATTAGAGTCTATTTCAAGAAAGGCTTATAAACCCCCTAGGGCATTTCTACGCTCATTTACCCATGGACAGTGGCTTGGTGGTTTGAAAATCCACATCAGGCAGGCCAAGTTAGGGTAAAAAAGCTAGTGTAGAGCCTTGAATGAGGATACGACTATCCATGGGATGAGATTTATTCAGAAAAAAAGCTATCATCTAGTTCCCGCAGTGCCCTAAATGTATTTTTGCAGTATAGAACCTAGTGGATCAATTTTTGATATATAATGAAATTGAACTGGAGAAATCTTTCGAGAACGTGATCTGCATTTCAGGATAACGGGACTCGATGTTGTGGTCTATATAAAGCCAAGTCTTATTTTGCAGTCTCTGCCAAAGCATAACCATTATCTCACACATCTTCAGCCTTTATATGCCAAGATGCGTGCATCGTTGTTTACTTTCCTTCGATATGAAATCGATCTTGAAATTGTCTTGGGCAGCCTGAATTTCAAATGCAAAAAGCCACGCAAATCAAACTTCCATTTCCTATTTGATTCCAAAGATTCTAGTGTAGGTCTTAAAACCAAATTCTAGCAATGGTTGCTTAGGTGATCTAAGGATGTGTGATATAAACAACGACAGATAAAAGGGGAACTGAACACCTTGGCCAATGTATTCGTTTGCTTTGTAATTCTAGGCGAACGCAAAGTCATAACAACAACACAACGCTCAAAATAGCGTGCTATGTTTGCCTTTCAAAGAAAAATGTATAAAAAATTCACAGAATTTCTTTTCTTGAAAGTATCAGAAATGAACCACTAGGATGCGCGTATAATTCACTTGCAAGCAATTTCGTTAATGAAAATGAATGCGCAACAGCGCTGCAGAATAATAAATCGAATTCATTAGCATCAATTCGATGAAGCCCGTTCGGCAGAAGGATGCATCTTACTTACGTAAGCCGTGTGTTTCATGATGCCATAATGCTTTGTTGACCACATTGGATGGATGATGTGAACGGCGTTCGGATACATCGCTCGTATTCTGTGTGCGTATGTTTTCGTGTCAACAATGAACACCTATGCATTGAAAAGGAAAATTACATATGACGAGTGAAGTCAAGCAGAAATGCTTCACTAAACATTGAAGCAGTGAGAGGATAGAAAAATGGAGATTTCTTTTGACGGCGGAGTTAACGGTGAGTAAACTTGCTAAAGACGAGGCGCCAACCTTTAAGACGTGTGCGAATCATCAATGACGACTGAATGTTTGTTCTAACGCATTGAAGCTTACAAAATGCATTATGCTACCGTAACCGCGCCATACTGCATGCGTTCAAAGTTCGCGCCAAGACCACGTCAGACTCACCGGCTTCGTCGACAGTGGTCCCGTAGGACTGAGACCTGGACATCGACATCTGGGCTGACGGTGGCGATTTCGGCGACGACGACCACGGCTACGGCGCTGATGCGGGCCTAGTGCATCATGTCGACTACGTCTGCGCTGCCAGCCCTCAGGGCGGGCACACATCGATTCTCGTGTCTCTCCTCATCCACCTCAGACACTCGTCATGTCCATACACCACACATTAACACACAGACCTATACGGCAATTATCTCAGCACTACAAATAAACACGGCCGAGATATTACCTCGCAGCTTCGCGTGAAGCAAAACGCGCACGTCATCGAGTGACGTAGCCGGCGTACTTTCTGCACTTTCGATGACGTGGAAGAGCAAGACGCACTAAGATATCATGTCGCATAATATGGTTAGTCAAACAAAACGATGATGCGATTGAACTTCTTCGTAACCTTATTCCTTAATGACGGGTTCAGTTATTGGAAAGGCCAGGAACAACAAACTGTGTTCGCAGTACAGGAAGCTAACAAGAAAAGGATACTTGGTGACCGTGGCCATCCATAAGTGTATATTGAAAAATGCGCCTTCAAATGGTTCGAAAGCTCTTTTCCATATCTGCAACAAGCCAATCTGGATGGAACAATGATGGTTTTTTGAGAAAAATTTGCACTACTGGGGAGAATCGAAATCAACAATACTTTTTGAACTGCTAAATATAAAAGGTAAAGTAGACTAACACTGGTGATTTCATTTATCCAAAAGTACGCAAATTTTTTTCTTAGAAAAAGCGTTCTTAGCTTTCCTTAGAAAATTGTTTCGCAGATAGCGAGGGCAGATTCAAAATCATCGTTTCGAGATGCATCTTATGGTATACATCGCATTTTATTTGGCCACGGTCACCAAATACCCTTTCCTTGTAAGACGTCACAATCCAGAAGCTTTTACATAACGCAAGCTGAAGTGGATGCGAATCATATCGTTAGCAACGGCCAGACATTCACATAACCACTCTAAATCTTATATATAAAGCTGAATGTCTGTTTGTCTGTATGTCTGTCTGTATGTCTGTCTGTCTGTCTGTCTGTGTGTGTGTATCGTTTATTCGTTGACCGTAACGACTGCTGACCGCGCGGCGACCGCTGCGCGTGCATGATGTTTTCGTAGAAAAGATGAATAGAAAGAAAACAGAGCACTCTTCTCATCTTTATAATGTAGAAAAGAAACAAAGAATTCTTCTCATCTTAAGCCACGGTCCAACTTGTCACTTTTTCGCAAGTTTAGAAGGCACGCGTCGCAGTCGCCACGCGGTCGGCAGTCCGTACGGTCAACGAATGAACGATACGTATGTTCCGAATAGAAAATTCCATTTCTGAACCGATCCGGACCAAACTTGGCACACATACACTTCGGGCCCCGGCGGGTGTCATAGGCTACTTTTCGTCATCGATCGATATCGATTTTATCGATTTTTATCGATTTTTTTGCTGAGTTCACCTACGGGGCTGGGAGTTGGCACAGGGAGGTAATCGAGCATGGGGATTCCGAATACAATATTGGTTTTCAGGATTATCGATTACTTTTATCGATTTTATCGATTTTTTTGCAAAGTTTGAGCTACGGGGCTGGGAGTTGGCACAGGGGGGTAATCGAGCATGGGGATTCCGAATACAATATTGGTTTTCAGGATTATCGATTACTTTTATCGATTTTATCGATTTTTTTGCAAAGTTTGAGCTACGGGGCTGGGAGTTCGCACAGGGGGGTAATCGAGCATGGGGATTCCGAATACAATATTGGTTTTCGGGATTATCGATTACTTTTATCGATTTTATCGATTTTTTTGCAAAGTTTGAGCTAGGGGGCTGGGAGTTGGCACAGGGGGGTAATCGAGCATGCTGATCACTCCCAAGGGGGGTGATCAGCATGCTCGATTACACCCCTGTGCCAAATTCCAGCCCCCTAGCTCAAATTTTCAAAAAATCGATAAAATCGATAAAAGTAATGGACGATCCTGAAAACTAATATTGTGTTCGTAATCAGCATGCTCGATTACCCCCCTGTGCAAACTCCCAGCCCCGCAGGTCAAACTTTACAAAAAAAATCGATAAAATCGATAAAAGTAAGGGACGATCCTGAAAACTAATATTGTGTTCGTAATCAGCATGCTCGATTACCCCCTGTGCAAACTCCCAGCCCCGCAGGTCAAACTTTACAAAAAAAATCGATAAAATCGATAAAAGTAAGGGACGATCCTGAAAACCAATATTGTGTTCGGAATCCCCATGCTCACTTCCCCCCTGTGCCAACTCCTAGCCCTGTAGGTGAACTCTGCAAAAAAATCGATAAAAATCGGTAAAATCGACATCGATCGATAACGAAAAGTGGACTGTGACACCCTCCGGGACCCGAAGTATATGTGTGCCAAGTTTGGTCCGGATACGGCGGAGCCGGGTAAGCCAGCTAGTCTAAAATAAGCTCTGTCCGAACCATACATTAGGTTGTCCCAAAAGTTCTTGCGCCGGATTTTCAAAAAATCATATCTTCCTTGCCACTCGATGGATTTTCTTGATTTTAATTTCGTTTGAAAGAGGAAACCTTTCTCTTTACCAGAGTACCTTTGTTGTGAAGAGGCATCAGGAAGTTTCAAAGCTAAAAGCAATTGAATAAAATCAGTCAAGATCGGCATTTTTCAAGCTGGATCACGAAAAAATTTTGAAAGTATTTTTATTTGAAAGAGAAAATTTTGTAATACATTACAGTGGTGCCGTTTTCATGAATTAAAACGAAGTAGATCGAGAGTTAGAAGCAAATAAAGAGAATTTCTTCAGTTTTGCAATTTTTGATCATGCTCAAAAAAGTTTGAAAACGTCACAGAAAAGGCGAAAAATTCATAAACATGGGTTTTGTGACCTTCCCTTTGTAGCTGAGCGAAAATCGCGCCAATCGGGAGCAATTTTCATTTTCGTGAAAAAAGCAGGCCCAAAAATCCGAATAAATCACGAAAGTCAAAACTGCTCCCGATTGGCACGATTTTCGCTCAGCTAGAAAGGGAAAATCACAAACCCATGTTTATCACTTTTTCGTCTATTCTGATCAAGCTCAAAAATTGCAAAACTGAAGAAATTCTCTTTATTTGCTTCTAACTCTCGATCTACTTCGTTTTAATTCATGAAAATGGCACCACTGTAATGTGCAAAATTTTCTCTTTCAAATAAAAATACTTTCAAAATTTTTTGTGATCCAGCTTGAAAAATGTCGATCTTGACTAATTTCCTTCAATTGCTTTTAACTCTCGAACTTACCAACGCTGATTCATGGCAAAGGCACCGCTTTGAAGAAAAAGGTTTCCTCTTTCACATGAAAATAGTTTTGAGAAAAATCGTTGAGAAAGGAAGTTATGATTTTTTGAAAATCCGGCGCAAGAACTTTTAGGACAACCTAATATATAGTTATAAGCCTTTTCCGCACAGTGATAGAGGTTGCTGCAACTCCTAGGAACTGACTTGTGGATATAAAGTAAGTGAAAGCAAGGGATATTATATGAAGCTTTTTAGATGGATTGAGCTGCAATGGCAGGGGCGCAAGCACGGATGATGTAATGAACTTTAATGAAACTCAATCCTAGATAAGACTTCGAGAGGACACCATAAAGTAATCGTATCACTTAACAAGTTAGCGCTTTTTGCAGATGTTTGGGAGTCAGAGTCAGACTAATCTCCAACCCCAATCTTTGATGTCAAAGTCAGACTAATCTCCAACCCAATCTTTGATGATAACCTTCAGCATTCTTCTGTGCAGATGGGGCGACTTTTAGTTCCTTAGCGTTTACTTAGCAAATTACTCCTTGAAGTTAAGCGCAAGTTTAACCAGTAAGCAAGCCATGTAGATCAGGTGTCCGCAACCTAGGCTTTTTCTCTAGTCTTTGAATTTTTGACAAGAAATTCAATCTTTTGACATTTCTATAAGCATACGTCGGTCTGAGAACTTGCGCAATCTCCTCTTTACTGAGGTGTGCCGAGCTAAAGGGTCAGCAGTATGTTAGAGCAATTGACCAAAACAATGGAGTATATGAACTTCGAAACATCCTGTGTAGGAAGACAGAAAACTATAGGGTGTTACAAAAATCGTTTTTAGTAACTCTCTTCCCGAAAAGTCTTTTGCTTAGATTGAAGTAAAATTCAGTAGAGGAGGCTTCAACTTGGATTTACAGTATGCAGCGAATCACCAATCGCTCTCCATTACTGTAGGATTACGGTAGGAACTTTGAAGGTCTTGATCCATCAATGACTACATTTTGCCCCAGAATGGATAATCAGCAAGCTAAGAATTTTATCAGGCTGAACGGAGTCGCTGACTATGAATATGAAGTTCGCACTTTATCGTAAGAACTTTTTCGAAAGTTATGCCGGGGAGACCGCAAGAACGTTTTTTCAAAGTTCGAAAATGTTACGAAAACGTTTGAAAGGCTTCATAAACTTGTGAAAAGTTATCTATTGAAATCAGCATGTCTGAAAACACTGATGCACAGCTTTCCAGGTTTTACTGCAATTTTTTTGAATGCCTATTTCACAATGGTGCTGTATGCTGAAGTTCCTACCGTAATCCTACGGTAATGAAGAGCAGTGGGTGATTTGCTCCATACTGAAGATCTGAATTGAAGCCTGCTCTACAGAACGGTTTTTGAAGCTAAGCAAAAGACTTCCTAGAAAGGGGGTTATTTACTATCAAGAAGTGTGTACTTACTTTTGGGACACCCTGTATTATGGCAAACAGCTGAGCAATTCAGCAAGCAGCCACCACCAGTAACAATATCTTACATTCATTTCTTGGCCTTGGATGAGTGACGAGAAAAGAGGGCTATCATACCATATTAGAGAGTTTCGTTTCCAAAACGCACAGTTGATGTTTGCCATTGAGATCACCAGCCCTAAAATCTAACACATGAGCGCCCACAGTTAGGATGGGGAAAACAAACCTTACTTTATGCGCACATTTCTGAATTCGGATTCATCTATGTATTTCGCTTGTTCTCTCTAAAAAAGCGCTTATCTGTTAAAAAGTGTATGATCTGTGTGCGGAAATTTTTCTCATCACGCCCAGTATAGTTAGCACCGAATTTCGTGTTCGAATAATTTATTCGAAATATTCGACTATTCGAATATTCGAATAGTCGAATATTTGAGAAAGTCCATTTATTCGATTATTCGAATAGTCGAATAAATGAAAAAGACTCATATTCGAATAATTCGTTCATTCGACGATTTCGAAAAATGACTTATTCGAATATTCCTTCATTCAAGGAGGTTTAAAAAAAGGTTATTCGAATATTCGTTCATTCGAGAAGTTACAAAAGATAGTTATTCGAATATTCGAATATTGCGTTCAAATATTCGAATAATATTCGAACATTTATTCATTAGTCGAATATTCTATCAAGTTCGGTTATTCAAGTATTCGTTCATTCGAATTTTGGAATGAGCCAATATTCGAATATTCAAATTCGAATAAAATGAAAAACGAAAGTCGAATAATATTCGTTCATTCGAAGAATTTTCGAAAATCAAATATTCGATATTCATTCTTTCGAAAAATTTTCGAAAATCAATTATTCGATATTCATTCGTTCGAAAAATTTCAAAAAATTGATTATTCGATATCCGTTCATTAGGCGAAAATTCTTTTCGTTACAACTATAACGCACAGCACACGTAGAACTGCCTTCGAGACGTCTTACTCAATCTAATTCGTTCTCTACAATTTCTCTTCATCTCATACTCCTTGTATACCAGGTTCCGACTTATTGAAAAAAGTAGTATTTGCTTCATGTTTTTCTGTAGCGAGATAATAGTAGCGAAACAATCCTGAAGGTGCTAGACTTGCATCCGCGCGCTTCGACCACATTGCGGTCCCCGCTACCCCCCCCCCCCCCCCCGAGAACGGGTACGCGAAATTTTTGAAAGTTACCTACATGGGTTATAAAAATGTGCAAGTGACTTGTTTATTTTTGTAAACAATTGAAATATTTTTTTAAATTTTTTAAAAATTTAAATTAGCCTTATAAAAAAATTTTTTTCGGGGGCGTGGCGTCAGCCACGCCCCCTTTTTCCAGATTTTAAGAGTTGGGGGCCCACAAAAATTTTGAGAAGCCCCCCTAAAATTTTTTCGGAGTGCGTGGCTGAGGCTCCCGCCAGAGTGCCGAAGTTATGCCAGCGCTACGCCAGCATTTCGATCGATACACGTGTATTTCGTTGGGGACGTCAGCTAGCCCCGCCCCAACGAAATACACGTGTATCGATCGAAATGCTGGCGTAGCGCTGGCATAACTTCGGCACTCTGGCGGGAGCCTGACGCCATGCACCTTCTTCTGAAAAAAAATTTTGCCGCCCCCCCCCCCGAGCCGGAATCCTGGGTACGCCACTGATATTACTTGTGTTTCACCCATAAACTTCTAAGCGACTTATAGGTGTATTTCACTTTGGACAGCTCACTATTTCAGCAAAATTAGCCAAAACTTTGCCTATGAGGTATATACGTAAAGATGATTACATGAAAAACACTACACTACTTTGGTACTGCCTCTGTGCGGCTACGATATCATTGCAGGAGACTTGAAAGCGCGTTGCAACCGCTGAACCTCGAAGTTCTTATATTGGCTGGTATTGTAGTGCCAGGGCAAATGCGCGCTTTTAGACAATTGTAGCTTCGTACTAAGCCGTACTAGTGAATGGATGTACAAAGGTGATCAGCATGCCAATTCAACCCCCATGCAAAGTCGCAGCATTTTGTGATTCCAGCCCCTTACCGTATTTACCTGCCGTAACCTCGCGATACATGCCCTACCGTGCTAAAAGGGCTCCTAGTAACCGCATGTTGAACTCGTCCGTAGGAAGGATACGGCTTGTGGAAAACCCTAAATGAACCCTCCGTCATAAAAGAAAAGCGCGGCCGTGATTGGCGAGCATATCGGGCGCCATGGGCCAGGCCTGAGCAGAGCGAAGCAAGTGCGGAGAACCGTTGTGGGTTTTCGTGCAAATATGCTCGTCTGCTTTTGCACAATTATCATGACCATGCCGCTCATGCATAAGCAGTATTACAAGCTTCAAAGCGTAATACTAGTCTGTTTGAAATATGAAGCTATATTACGCGGAAAAACTACGAACTCTATAGAGACATAGCAGCATGTACAGAAGAGAGGTGAGTATAAACAAAGCGGATAAAGTCAAAATCCCTTGAAAAATACAGCAGCACCTTCTCGTTGATATAAAACCCATTATTCCAGAAGATGTGCCTGGGTAAATGATAACTTCAGATGGATTCATCAGTGCAATAAACTGAGAGTTCTTTGCAAACTTATCCGTGCGGCACCCATACTGTACAGCTTTCACCAACAAGCGTTCTGCTCCTGCTCAACTTACACCCCATTTTAAACCCAAAAATGAGCACAGTCCTTTGGTAACAAACAAGACAAAAATAGCTTACTAGATAACTTGCTCTACCTAGATACAAGCAAAAATCGAAACATTTACCTACGATGTACCTTCTCTTCGCAATAAGGCTTCCAAGCCCACATAAATGGGTGCTGACACAAAACCATGAAAACTAGTAGTTGCAAAGTACAGCTGTTTATTAACATATTGCTCAATATACAAAGCTATACTAACATAGTGATGACCAAGTGACCGGTACGAGATGAGACTTATACAGATATCAACATATCCGAACTCTCAGCGATTTAATCCATGGTACCGATTTCACAAAACTGTAAATGTCACTATCACTTATTAGGACACATATGCTGGCAAGAAAACCGTAATCCAGTCAAAAATTGAGCTGTTTAGGAATCATAAGTAAACTAGAATGCAACTACTTTGTAGTAAGTATCATGTAAAAAAATTTGTGAGCGAGTTGACTGTAGAAGCGTATCGCATACTATGTTTCTCTCATATATAAACATCTAGCTGTCATCAGTAATAACAAAAGCAATAAAACAAGTTACAACAAAACAAATATATCAAGAAGTCACCGTATCCAAAATGTCCAAGACCATCGGTAATGGTAAGGATGTCATGCACTGAAGGAAGTTCAGAAGACAGCGAAAGCGACTCGAAACTCAATTTCAAAAAGACAGTTTGAGTGGAAGATTCTGTAAGGATAATGACATGGAAATTGAGGCAGCAACGGCATCAGGCAACAACAGTTTGAGAAAACATGTTAATTTGCAACCATACAGTATGAGTCTGTGGAATTAAGTGCTATGCTCAAAGAGGTTCCATGGAAAGGATGAGATGAGTAAGCGAATTACTAGTGATGATTTGTTTATATGTCGTCGCTATCGTCATCGAGGTCGCCACGAACTTTGAGCTCGCGGACGGTAGCTTGCGCCATCGCTCCGAGCAAAACCTCAGGGCAGGAAACAAACGTCACATTGGTATTATGGAACCGAGCACATATTTGAGTAACCTTGAAAGAAAAGATGACCAAAGGCGACAATAAGCTTTGCATTTTCGCTCACCTTCTCCTGGAGTGCCTCATCTTTCGTAACCCATATAGTGTACACGTTATGTGGAGCAACCGACAAGCATTCCTCTAACATTGGCAGATCGGTCTCCGAGTCACCACATACAAGCACGTTTCCTTCAAAGTAACAAATTCCAGATACCCACATAATATGTATCAAAGCCAAAACTCACCGTCTTGCAGCTGCATACCCATCTTTCGCTCGATTAGACGAACACCATGACCTTTATTGAAGATTCTTCCAGACAACTTTGCCTGCAGGAGAATTTGGTAGAAGGACATGTGTACAATGATCTCAAACCATACCTTAGTGTAGATTTTGATATCATAATCACTTTCCCTCAGCGTGAGGGTAGCTCCAGTTGGGTCGACATCATTCACAATTTTACTAACTTTATCAAATCTGAAATACATGTCGCTCCTAATGTAGAATGGATATGCAGGAATGTGATTACTCACAGCATCATGCTCTTCCTCTGTGGAACTGAGTTATTTACATCCTGCTTTGCGATAGTTATATGACCATAATGCTTCTGTAGACCACTACCAATCCAGGTAAAGTTGCGGTAAGCAGGATCATCTAGCAAATCCTCGATCTAGAAAAAAGAAGCTCACATACGTGCTATTCGGCGAAAAGTCATTTTTTCTATCTTTTAACTTGATAAAGGAAGTATGAAGAGTTACATCACACTGCAGCTGCAATCTGAAAGACCGAGCAACAAAAGAGAATCAAAGTAAAACGCTGATAAAATAATCAGGCATCGAGGTAAGAAGAAATGCATCATCTCTTTTTCAACTCACTTTATCGAAAACTTTGTTGAGCAATGCTAGGTCAGCATCGCTGATACTGTCGTCTTTGAACTGCATGGCAGGATTAAAATACCATTCTCGACCAGCCGATGCTCCGTACGCATAGTAGCCTGAATACTAAGTAAGCAGCAGCAAGTATCAAAACAAAAATCCATCTTTCAAACCAAACACACACCTTCCGGCATTGTACTCATGTTGAGAATTCCTATGTGAACGAGTGGAGCTGTGGTGACGATAGCACAAAACTGAGCACATCGGCGAGCAAATTGTGCCTAAATCAGGTATCTTAGGATAGACGAGCGATTTGGCGCTCAGCTTCAAGGGGCACAAAATCCCCCCAAAAAAACGTGAGGAACAGAGAGCAAACAAAACCAAACTACAGGAATGTTCATGACACATATCAAACCTGGATGACTGCAGAATACGCCGGTTGAACGCTGGTCGGGTACGAACATGAATAGCTCTTCAAAGTACCATCTCTGCAAAGAAGATGGTGTGACCATTAAAAAATAATAATCTTTAAGCAATGGAGAAAATCCTGAGTTGCTCTGGTGAATTACCTGTCGGTGAAAACGTAGTGGAAGTGATCTCCTTGAGTCAAAAGTGCCGATGCCTTTTCCACCTCTGCTGCGAAGGCTGTTGGCCCTGATGGATGGAACGAGCCGAGCGTCTAGATATTACTACTCAAAGCAGACACAGTTTCCCGCTTCATCGCTAAGGAAACGCAGACTCACGTCAATAAACTGTTCAACGTTATTGGTATCTTCTGACTGGATAAAAGAGAGGAACGCAAGATCCTTTTGGAGTTCAGTCAGCTCGTCCGTGATGTCAAACGTGCCATGGGTAGCAACACCATCAACTTCCTCTTGATGGGAGCTGGTTTCCAACACGAGCCGATTCGAGTCAGGTATGCAGCTATTTTCAAGAGAATTCTGAACAAGTGTCGATTAGCCATTTAATCAGAAAAGAACGCAAATTCACCTTAGCGTTCTCCAGGGAAAGTGCGAAGTGGGGCCGGATAGGCATACCTTTGAGAACCACTTCCACAATTTGACGACGAATTTGGGCAGTTTGAGCCATAAGCATATAGAAATCAGCAAGCTGCTTGATCTGGAAAACTTCTTTGATAACTACTCAGCTTCACTCGCAGAATCTCGTTTCCTGACCTCACTAGGTCGAATAACTTCGTGAGTCCAACTCGGATCCAGGAACGCGGTACTCCACTCGTCAATGTCATGACTCTTCAAGAACTTGTTGAGACTGCCTCCATGCTCTTGTCTGACAGCACGTTCCTCGGTGGCGGCACGATAGAAGACTTCAGCGAAATTCTGCAAACATTCTCAAAATGAATGCTCAATATTCACAGTGAAAGAAGCGAAAGAACATACTTCAATATCTGCAATATCGTCCACACGATGGTAGTATTTCTTATCCTCTGAATAGAATCCAGCATTTCCAAGTTGTACCTGAACTTGAAACAGAGTGCAAACCACATGGAGATCACTTTAAACTTGCTCAGACATACGGCGTTTATGGAAATATCAGATAAATAAATTCTTCCCTTGTTCACAGCAACTAGCTCAAAATTGTCGAATAAAACTTATGCGGTCACATAAAAGGGTGCCCCGACGTAAAACAATTGGACGAGATTAAGGCTTGCAGGATTGACACGGAACTAACGTCAGCAGATGTTTCTCACCAGGTTCGTCCACGTTCTGTGCACCAAGAAAAACATACGCTTGCCCGCGCGACACCATTTTGAATAAGCAACGGATTGGTCAGTGTTAATCAGGTAATATGAGTAGATGGTAACTCCTCAACACTACCAAATATAAAGCTCCCGTAATATCTAATAAGGGATTGCCTGCTTATATGTAACAAATAGAGACTCTCAAATTAATTATATCAGTGTTCTGCAAAACATAATAGAATTTTTGGAGCACATAGTTCTATTTTTTGACATCTGATGCGCGGAATTACAACACTCAAAACTTATCAATATAAACATCTAATACATAAAGAATCGTAACGCCAGCCAAAAAATATCAAAGAGCGGAAAACCGCGGCGGGTCGAAGTGAACGCTCTTGCAAATAGCACCTTTAGATTACTGGTTTACTAGTAGATAAAGCAAATATCTCACCTCAGTACCAGCTCCAGACGAGAGGACCAATGATGCCGAAGGGTTACAAACCATCATCTCTTTGGCAACCAGATTCATTCCGTCCTGAAATTAGGAAGATTTTTTATTATTTACTTTTACTTCTAATGATACAACATGGTTTTCTGAAATCAATTTTGCACAAGAACTTGTGGCTCACTTTGGATGGTGTCACGACGCCAATATCCATAGCCAAATAGTGAGCTATCAAACGCGCCCGTTGTAAACCATCAGTATCGAATTTAATGGGTTTCCATTCCGGATTTGAATCACACTTGATCGTTTCATTAATCTCTTTTGCTAAAGCCAAGCAACTGTCCTAAAGTAAGCTTCATTAATTTTTGCAGCGAGAGAAATTTTGATTAGTTTACCTGGTATTTCTTGTATGACTCTACAGCGCGCCTGTTTGTCACAGCGACTTGATACAACACATCCAAACCTTTCCTCTCTGGATGCTTTTCGAAGTACCTTAACGAAGTACTTGATCTTACCTGATCTTGAATGACCAAATCAAGTATAGCAGATGGTTACTTACCTTCTCCATGCTTTCAGTTTCTCCATAATACCCTTTGTGTAGTCAAATCTTTCTACCGAGAAAAAGAAGCATCCACCTGGACCACTATGAGCAAGAATCTGAACACATTTAAAAATCACCATACATTGCTGAGAATAATCGCAGCACGAGTTATGTCGCCAAAAGGCTTTGTGCTCACGGACATCTGCCACAAGTCAAGCACCTACAAGTTACAGCCGATGCCTACTGTTTCAGAATCCACATCAGCGTCATGAAATCCACTACCGCCGTTACCTACGGACCGAAGAAGAAAACATATAGGAACATAAGTAAAAATCTTACGTCTTTTCTGATTTCTTCTGCATCAATGGCGCATTTCGGATCGTTGGCTATTGACAAAAAGTCTTCGTTTTTGATGGACACTGGGAAGACACCCAACGAGCACGTCCAACCCTAAATTACTATCTCAGAAAGCCACAACAGAAAAGGAAAGCGACCTAGAACCAAATACCTCATAAGTGACGGTAAATATGTCGATTCTCTGGTCATAATGCACTCTTGCTCTGGGAATATGCTCTCTCACCATCTGAACATATCGCTCACGATCACGGTGGGTTTGGAACCCGACCTATAAGGAGAACTTCGTTCGAACAACTTCCCAACATATGCCAATTCTTGTGATGACTCTAACCTTGGTAAAACGAAGAATGCCTCGCAGAATGGGGTCAGCGACTACTTTGTACTTTGTCATGAAGTTTGGTGGAGGTTGGAATGGAATGTGCAAGAAGAATCCAACCTACAGATGTGGAACCTTGAAAAACTCCAAGTATTTCAATTTAAGTAGTGATACCTCAAGGTTGCTGTCCAAACTTCTCATGATCTGCCCTGTCAACATCAAATGGTAATCGTGAATCCAGATGAAATCTTGAGGACGACTGTTCCTGGCAGCATTTATCCCGAATTGGTAGTTGACACGCACATAAGCGCACCAGTGCTCACGAAGCGTCTGAAAATGGCGTATAAAGCTATAGGTGTTGTTCTTGCATATTCGACTTAGACCAGGTGTCTCAAGACGAACATGACATTCTTTCAGAGATTCTGATATGCGAGTGCACAACTAAGATCACGGATTAGCATGCATGTAAAAGGTGTTACTAAAGAGATGACAATAGAAAGAGATGACAAAAAGGACGGACAATCATCTCAAAGCACACTAATTGTAAGTACAGAAAAATGGCGACAAGAGAACCAAGATATGATGTACGACAATAAAATAGTTGTGCTTCCCAACGCACTAAACAAATCTCGCTAGGCAACTTCGGAACTCACGGCAGGATCATCATATTCCTTTACTATGTATTCGGCAAGATTATGCAGAGCAGGCCACAATAGTCCATTGCTGATTCCTCCATAGTAAGCGTTGTAATCTTCCTGATATGCATATTATGCTAGGAAAGAACAGTGATTGGCGAGCTGTTTACAAACCTGGCTAACAAAGACGGGATTCAATTGGTAATTTGTCTTGTTGTAGTCATGCAGAACGGATAAAAGGGACATGTCTTGCCTGAAAATGAACTTTCAATAGATGGAAATTTCCTCATGTTGTAACAACTAACTCGACAAGCTGCTCTCTGTCAGTGAGCTGCTGCTTCTTGTCGTTCTCTTCCAAGACGTGGAAAATTTCTCCAGCTCGGGCTTGTTTGATAAGAGGAAGACCCAGCGAGTTAGTTGAAGGATGCACATCCTGGAGTCAAAGGGAAATAAACAGGATTTAATAACGTGACGCTGTCTAACAATAAGATATCCTGGAGTCAAAGGGAAATAAACAGGATTTAATAACGTGACGCTGTCTAACAATCAAGACCTTATAATAACGGGCTAAGGGTTGTTTACGTGTTTTTGTGTGTGTGTGTGTGTGTGTGTCCGTCTGTTACGAAATTCGTAGAGCGTGTTCCAGCCAGCGTTTTAAGCCCAAATTTTGCATAGCGCATGCTACCTTCATGAAAGTTCAACGTGCAAGAGCACGAATAGATTCGTTGAATGGGTCCCTCAGAAATTGCGCGCCAAACGGATCCACCTGGCTTCTGTCCCGCAAAATTGGGTCCATATCACCACTTTTTGCAAAGTTCTGGATGTGTTTGGTAAGCAAATGTGCAAGCGATGGACTTTAGCCCAAAAAGTGGTCAAAAGTTTGCTACATAACGAAAACGGCGCCAGAAAGAGTTGGTTGCGTAAATGGTTAATTTGCTAAGGTTCTAGCTAAGCGTTTCAAAAGATTTTCGCACGGAGATGTAGCTCACGGTTACTATTGCCTTTAAGGGGACTACCAAGCCATGACAACTTCAAAAACCTATTCAAATTTCCGTTTGTCTTCCTACGAAAAGTTTCATCCACGCGAAATCACCGATCTCACGTGAAAAAAACTTTCTGAATGAGTAGCTGTTTACATTTAATTCGTGGTAGTCGGCATAATGCGGTAAGTTCCATTGCCACGATTTTACGAGAATGAGTAAGGCACATAGATAGTAGAGTTAGTTCGAGCCTCTGCGAAGCAGAGGTGACACACTGGTAAGATATATTCAACTAAGCTACCGCGGATCTACAACCTCGTGTGAAAGCATCAGGAAAGTGATCAGGTAGCAACTTCGGAGAAGGAATGCTCACCAATTCATCTTGTTTTTCTTCCTTGAGGTTGATTCCAAGATTTGAAAGCCATATGTTCTCTTTGTCCACCGACATCACTGGATCTACGCATGACACCAGTCCTCCGGAACCTGAAAATATTCATTCACAAATTAACCTTACAAGCTCGCATATGCTTGATCCATAATGATTTCACCGATTACTTTTTCTGCATATGAGACGCGGTAACTCTGATAAGCTAGCAAATTTCAAGGACTTTTTCTATTTTGACAGTTATAGCCAGATTTGAGCAAGGTCAAACAAGTATTCCGGAAACGACCTCCCTTTCCTGATTACCCCCCCCCCCCCCCCAACGACCCTTTCCTTCCTCCTCTTAATCTCCGAAACCTTAGAGCGCGCCATTCCGATAGACATCGTCCTGCAGCTGAAGAGTTCATGGATTTTTGACTGCGCGCCGCTTCGTGCCTGTACTTTACAAGCACACGTGATTTGACATCGGATTTTGACCTAAATGAGTCAAAAAAGCCACAATTTCCAGGGGTGGGGTGTTTGCCATGTAGCATGAAAAGGCTATGAGCTCTAAGATCATAACAGGAACTGAGCGCTTTCTTAATTCTGAACACAAGTTAAAGGGGTCAGGCACAAGACCACAAAAGCTCAGACAGCCTGACCTTTTGGGAGGTTGTGGACTGAAAGAGAATAGCACTTTGGTATCACTATGAAAAAGCTGACATTTTCACTTTTCAAACTAAGTTAATCATGTTTGCAAATCACGCTATTACGGCGTTAGGAAACACTAAGGCCCGTATGCACGTACATCCCCGCGGGGAGGGGAGGGGATCTGAGGGGGAAGCGTCATATCTCGCTACTCTGTATAGCTTTCTTCTTCCTTCTTTATCTGTGACATGAATGTTCTCATACACTGATACCTACGCATAATAGATGCCAGGTTACTGCCATACAAGATTAGATTTTCACCAGTTTAGGTGATCCCCTATCACCTCACATTTTCGGAGTCATTTATCTTTCTGAAAACTCCACAAAAATGCTGTAAAGTTGTACTGAGGATACACTAGGGCACTGCTAAGCATGTTTGACAGAAGAAATGGAATCTGAAGATTATCAATCTTATATATAAAGCTGAATGTCTGTCTGTATGTCTGTCTGTACGTATGTGCGGAATAGAAATTTTTATTTCTGAACCGATCGGGACCAAACTTGGCACACATACACTTCGGGCCCCGGCGGGTGTCATGGGCTACTTTTCGTCATCGATCGATATTGATTTTATCGATTTTTTGCAAAATTTGAGCTACAGGGCTGGGAGTTGGCACAGGGGGGTAATCGAGCATGCTGATCACCCCCGTGGGGGTGATCAGCATGCTCGATTACACCCCCTGCCAAATTCCAGCCCCCTAGCTCAAATTTTGCAAAAAATCAATAAAATCGACATCGATCGATAACGAAAAGTGGACTATGGCACCCGCCGGGGCCCGAAGTGTATGTGTGCCAAGTTTTGTCCGGATCGGTTGAGAAATGGAATTTTCTATTCGGAACATACGGCGGAGCCGGGTAAGCCAGCTAGTTTTTCGATAATCCCTGGTTCGCGAGCAGCGGTTCATCAAAAATTTCGATATCCTGAGATTTCCCTTATTTCTACTATAGACATGTTTAGCAGTACCATATTATACCCTCAGCACAAAATTCGAACATTTTCACTGAATTTGTTGGAAGATAAGACTTTGAAAATGAGAGAAAAGCTGTGAAAATCTAATCTTGTATGGCAATAACCTGGCATCCATTATGCGCAGGTATATACTATGGTATGAGAACCTTCATATCACAGATAAAGAAGGAAGACGAAAGATATACAGAGTAGCGAAATATGACGCTTCCCCTCTCAGATCCCCCCTCCCTGCGGGGATGTACGTGCATACGGGCCTAAAAAATGCAATAGGTAGAGGTTCAGACTGTAGGGGTAACTCAAGTGCTGATTTCGTAAATCACACCCATTGAACAGTAAGCTTTGGTGATCTTAAGGTATAAGTAAGATATCAGTTTTGATAAAATTGTGGTTTTCACTAGTCTAGCGCTTTTCTCCCTCGCCTTACTCGATAGTAGTATTCTCTCAATTTTCATACGAGTCCGATTCACGATACCCGGGTCGGGCACGCCTGACCCCACGCTCAACTCTGGTCGTAGCAGTTTTTGACGACTTAAATCAGAAGCTAACCTTGTTTAATCTCCCAAGAATTACTTCCTTTACGTTGGATGGACACAGGTGGTGCGTTCGATACGTTTATGACTCTTTGCTAAATTATGTAAGGTTCAAATGATAGGCACTAGGCACCGCTCACGCACCTTATGATGCATCGTGTCCATGAGCCCTGTAACGCCTGTTCCAGTTGAAAGACCCTCACTTGTTCCATCTGATTGAGCGTCATCAACAACGTCATTTTCAAGAGATAAGAGATCTTCAATGGAGCCGCGCCTCGATGACACTCTTGAGTTTGCTCGAGATCGCACCATCTAAGCATGGTACTTGAGGTGATAGTGAATAATTTTACAAGTGGAAAAATACGTACTACCTGGATGTGCCGATACTTTTCACCAAATCTTTTGGCATGCACACCCAGCATGCTCTGACGCACTCCAGGTACGGCTGCATACAGTTCGCTGAAAAGAGACTTCTTTCACCAGATCTCCGTGAAATTTCAGCTTATATCCAATGTAGACAACAAAGCTCAAAAAGTGTTCTCAATGACCAGCCTGTATCTATTACCTTATTTATGAAAACCTTTGTAGAAGTCGTTATTTTAAACCTAACTTGTAGCTAGCTCCTGTTATGCACACATGCTTAAACCGCACCAGACTTCAGCATTAGTTTGTTAAAAGTCTCGCCAATATTCACATGCTAGCAAACACTATGATTTATGTACTGCAAAGCGGCGTGGGTAAGCCCTAGGTTCAAAGATAGTGAATGTACCAAAGAAATAAAATAGGTCGGACACATTCACAATATTGTATTGAAATGCAGGCTTGATGCATACAATACAATGAGAAATTTCTTCGTATGCAGATATGAACGCGCCCAACTACATAAACGCAAAATGAACGACATTCATCCAAAACAGTGCGACAGAGATGCATCAACACTTTAGCTACAAACGGCTCAACTTGAATCAGGCAAACTCACTTCGGCAAGTCATAAAAGTCACCAATCCATATTTTTAGAAGAGGTAATACCCATGCCCACTCACTGTGGAAACGAACTTACCGCAATCGGTTCTTGCTGTTGTTGACATCATACAACGCAAGAGAGAAAAGCAACGAGTCCCGAAATTGTGTTGCGAAGGAGAGATCTGAGTCATAGATTAAAGGGACAGCCACTTTCCAAAAGGCGACCTGTAATTTGGAAACAGCATAGTACATGGACTACCAGCATTAATTCTCGAAACCTACCGAATTGAAGCCGAGCTGGCTGACTAGATTACTAAAAACGTTATCGAAATTTGTGGGCTGCTGCAGACATAGTTCCAATATCAGTAACATCCCCGGAAAAACAAATAATAAGCAAACAATGAGACGATTTCGCAAACTTTTGCACACAACTTCTCACCTTCAGAGCAATTTCGGAATTTTTCTGTCGAAGTCTCCACTCAGCACAACATGCATTTGTGGCAAATGTCAGAAAGTCCTCATCATCTAATGGTGGGGCATTTACGTTGATTTGCGAGAGAATTCTGGCACATGACTGAAATCACAGTAGTAAGAACTGGTAATTAGCAAAACATTTATGGTCAGGCAATAAAAATAGCTAGATTTCAGTACAGCATGCATGTTTTACAAGAGTCTACTTCCGTGTACGAAGAAAACCGCCGTTTAATGATACTAAACCATGTTCAAAAGAGAAGTCTTCCGCCAACGACGTGACAAGCCTATCCTTGCCCATTCAAAATTGTTTGCTTTGTATATGTACAAAAAATAGATAGGGTGACCACTTCTACTCATTGCAACCTTGACTGTGAAATTTCTTTTTACCTAGTGTGAACATGGATAAGACTTTTGCCAACCTCCTTTTTCCAAAAAGCGAAAATTTTCTCTGATTTGATGTCACCTACTCTGATAGTTCGTGAATTTAGAGCGCGATGATTTGAGAAGTAGGGCAGATACGAGGTATCATTGAAAGCCAACACAGCACGATACAATCTCAGTTGTGAAGCTTGTCCAAGTTAGTCAAAAAGAGCAAGGACTCCTAAGCTCAGAATTTGTTCACTATTTACTTGCTGGCACCGTTTTCTTTACTTATATGTGATCAAACATCTTACTCTTGCTATATATATCCGGAATACACCGTGCAAAAACACCCCTTTGTTTTGCATCGCAACCGCTCCGCCGCGGCGATATGATTTGTTCACCACAGCTGAAGAAATGAGAAGGAAAAAAAGCGCTTGATAAGGACTGCAATGGCAACATAACAGTCAATGCAGAAGAAGAACCATGGTAAATGCAAAACCCACTTCTTTAACCCGATCAACAGCTTCGGGATCTTGGCCACGGAATGGACGCTGGAACGGTCGTTCTGGTAAAGGAGATGAAGACCGAACTTCTGTTTCCATCACCATCTTGGGTCTGAACACGAGAGTTATAGTGCATATGACGAAAAAGAAAACAATCCGCAAAGAATTCGCTATGTTTGTGATGAGACATAAACGAGTTGTAATTACAACCATCACGAGGTTTGCTTTCGTTTATTACATTGCTATTACAATCTTTACTATCTTTTCTAATGACTACACGTAATGGCATCAATAAACGATTAGTGATTACTAACAATAACAAACAACCATGTTCAGATTTGAGCGCATTAGATGACCACAGAAAGAAGAATAAGGGTTTATTTGGAATAATGGCACTGACAGCTATGGCTTGAACGTTTCAGAAGAGCTTCGAAAGATTATTGACCCCTTGAGCACATCACATAGAGCCTTCTCTGTGATTAAAAACGCAACAGCAAGCAAAAATAAGGGGCAACAGAATGAAAGAGCTACTGTTTCGTTAGGCACACGCCATTGATACACTTGTTCAGTTTGATCCACTTCCTAATGGTCGCATAGGAACTGACCAATAACAAATGAATCAAGTGAATCAAGTGGATCAAGTGGATCAAGCGGATCAAGTATGGCGCATGCCTAACGAGTGAAAGGTGAGTAAAGTGAAAACGCGCTGGAAAATCTGTTGCTTGAGACTAAGCGCTCACTTAAGAGGTCCTGACTGATCAAAAACAACTTTTGTAAGGCAAGCTGTATAGCATTGATCCACGTAAGTGAAAATCTAAGATGTAATCTTAACAAATTGAAAAGAAAAAATGATGTAAGTTCTCTGCTTAAAAAAAGACAAAAAATAAAATAAATGGAAAGAACTGTGAAAAAACCAAACAAAGTATACACTGTGGAGAATGAACATTCTCTCTCCCATAGTCTGAATACATTTTCGGGAACACATATCTTATAGAGAGCTTTGCGCTCAGCACGAACAAGAATGCAGTGACATGAAAGACTTCGCAGCAAGAAAAACAACAATCATAGAGACATATATCTCTGACACGAGAAGATCGTGCTACCCAGATCAGACATATATCTTAGGAATCGAGTTGGACAAGAATTGAACACAGCTATCGCGAAAGTTCCGGATACTTTCGAAATATAATAGCGAATATCTTATTCCGAAATACTTTCGAAAATAAGATATTCGCTGCATAAGCTAAACATTCGAAGCATGTCGATTCAACAAGATGAAACAGGAAAACACCAAAACTAAAGTTTTCTTCGACTGGTAACGATTTTGACTTTTTAGAGCATTGTTAGCCCACGATACGATTTTCAGAGGGATATGATTTCCACACATATAACATTGATGTTACGAGAAGAAAGCTGGGAGAAAGCAAAACTATTCCAATCATAAATCGAGCTTTCAACTCAAAGAAGAAGCTAGCAGATCCGCAAATACGAATTCAATCGTAGCCTAAGTCCTTCAAATAAGCTAGAAATGAAAAAAAACCTTGATAGAGCTCCACAGAATACTCTTGGGGACTAAATCATCACCTTACTACATTGTCCAGCAGTTCTACAAAAGAACAAAGCGTTGGAGATATAGTTCAAAGAGAGATAGACAAAAACCAGACGATCTTTACGCCTTACATAAACTAAATCGTTCGTATTGACGGATATTTGCATTTGCAGCGCTCGAGAGCGGCCGGTAGTGCTTATGGATTGCGACACGGCTTGCGTTGCGGCTTGCATCAAGAAGTTGTGCACACTACGATGGTCAGCCGTAGCTGATGTTTGAACGGCGGGACCCCCCGTCTGCGTGGAGGGGTTGTTCAGTCCCACATGTTATTCACGTGTGCGGGCCTCAAAACGGGTACGCTGTGGTGATCGGTCGTTGGTTGCTTCATCGGGCACTTATTCATTCATCGGAAAGGGAAATCTTATCTGTGTGATTGCAGACCCTTAATGATAACCGAAGAAAATGAGGTGTTGAGTGTGGGACTAAATTTAATCAACTCAAAAGCTACATACAAAGAAAAAACTCAAAGATTTGAAGATCGGATATCTTTGCATTTGAGACCCGTGCTTTCCTGAGAAAAATTTTTTCAGCTTGAAAGTTTCTTCAAGCTGAAAAAGCTTCTTCAAGTTCGTTGCTAAGCAAGCGCGACCAGCAATTTCAAGTCTTTATTCCATAAATGACTCCTAAACCCTACGAAACCACATTGTTCGATGGCCCTCACCCCCCCCCCCCCTTTCTCACAAAACTTTGCACATCGCAAGACAGAACTTTGATTGGTCCTGTGAATAGCAGTTCCGGCCAAAACATCTTCCCCCCCCCTGCTCCCCCGGCCTTTCCCGTCTGCGGGTATTCATGGTAACAATCGATACATCTCCGCCTCGTTTGCGACAACACGGTGTGAATTTTTAGCACATGCGGTCTTCATTCACTAATTGTTTTTGGTGAAGACTGTAGACAGCTGATAGAACTTCGCAAAAGACTGAGGAATGATAAGAAACCACAGTAGACAATTCAAATAAATACTTGAATCTACGGCTCACCGTTACTTACTTAAGAAGATTAGGAAATATGCCATAACTTTTCGGGAACAACTTAGAATGTGCCAATTATGACGACAGATCCTAATCAGAACTGCAGATATTGAGTCAGAATTCAGTTAGTTGATGAGATAATTAATTTGCCGGTAACCATGTTTAGAATGGGAAATTAATTTGCCGGTGACCATGTTTAGACTGGGCAACACGCTGCAAAAATTGTGCTATTGTGCTTCAATAAAAATAACAGAAAAGAAAGAATTCTTAAAAATCCGCATTATGTCCATAAAGAAGCAATTTCACTCTACTAAAATACGTGTTGGTACTTGATTTAGTAATATTTAGATACCAACTCTGATACTTCAGCTTACAAAGATCAGTATTACTGGTTAAGTTCCGACTGAAAATCAACATAGAAAAGAATGAGATCGTGCAAAGCTTTGAAACAAATAAAAAAAAGGTTCGTACATGAACAGTTACAGCTAACAGTTTCCGTCACAACGCACCTGGGAATAAGGGGGAGGTGGAGGGGGAACCCCACGAATTAAAATTTGGCAAATCATGAGATATAAGTCACGATATACTTTCAAAGTGTTCAAAGTCGGGGTAAATTCTCATACGCGTGATTGAAGGTGATTCAAGACTCAGAAGAAGTGATGAGATCATCGAGATTAGAGAATCTATCTTCAAAGAAAACCTGAGCAACACATGTTCTGGTGCCGATCATCTACTTGATGATTCAAGAGAATCGGGCTCATAAACAACAAACAATTGCTGATACTGACATACTGACAGCTTAGCGTTGAGCACAGTTGGCGTTGAAATTGAGTTGAAGAGAAAATCAATCATGTACGTCTTAAAGTCGAAAAGGATGAAGCAATACACCCGATAGGGGTCTTTTACACATCATAAGTTTACAATCAAGCTCGATTAGCATAACAGCGATGATTACACAAAATCTGACAGATGATGATCAGGTATGGGCTGTGAAAGTTGGTCTTCTTATTTTAAGACCAAAGTTTTTAGGAGTTTATAAAGTCAACACTTTTGGATGTGCTTTAGGAGAAAGTAAAACTTATATTTACCATTTAGTAACTCAGGCTGTTGTATTCAATGCTTCGACCGTGAAAAACAACAAGTAAAAGGCCTAATTCTAAATCGATGCAGTGCGAAGTTGAAGCCCTTGCTAAAACTCAATGTCGGTATGAAATTTATGAGGGCTAGAGAGAGTGAAAGGTTGACAGAAGGACCAGAACTTGAAAAATGAGTGCCAGATGCGATTTCTCATAGTGAGTGACTGCAATGCCAGGCACAAAGTGCATTGTACTCTGCTATTCAGCGAAAATCTGAGCAAATTCGAATTTGCCTTCCCTGCGGGAGTTCACTCCAGGGACACAGGCGACAGCTCTTGAACTTCTCATTTTGCAGAATATTCACGTTTTTTTTTGTTGTTGCAGAAAGTTTCTTCTATGGAAATATTGGGATTTTTCAGAAGAAGGTTCAACTTGAGATCTCCCCAAGCCATCATGCTGAATGAAGAAGAAAGCGAGATTTGTTTTTCGAAATTATGGGGGAGGCTCTTGATTGCTGCGAAAGGGCCAAATAAATCTGAAGTGATAAGTCATGCTTATTCAGAAAGTTGAAAATTCCGCAACTTCTCTCATTGCACTGATACATTTTCTGCTATATCATTTAGTCATACTATTTCGTTCATTCCAAAGTGGGTGAGCGTACTTGGAATCTCCAAGCCGATCCTTTCAGTACTGAGGATTATTCTACATGAAAGCGGGTCTGCCAATACACAAACTACTGTCAAATAACAGGTAAGGCAGAAAAGATTTTAACATTTTAATTCAATTACCAGAAGTGCAGGGCATTGCATAAAGTCAGTAGAGCGAAAATGTTGGAAAAATCGGTAGAGCAGCACTCTCAATTAGCCACCCTCTTTTTTCATGGCTCATGGTCACAAAGATGATGTTCTTATCTTCCAATTTCATTAGCACAGAAGGCATTCCTATAAGCTAGGTAAGATTAGCTTGCAGTTACTTTCAGGGCTGCGCTAAGTTTAGGAATTTATTCCAGCTCAAGATCTTGATATTTTGTCAAACAGAAGCTACATATCCCGATTTTATGACAATGTCCGAACGTAGCACTTCGAGAAATGAGTTTGAAAGAGATAAATCTTTGGAAATACTAAGTACCACGTGGTGCATTTTAAACTTTACTTATCCAAGCATGTTAACAGTTCACACGATTTGGCACGAATATTGGGCATTCAATAGATGAAAATGCAATGCATGTGCACATTTTATTGAATTTTCTTCGGTCTGCAATGTTTGCTCACTTTAGAGATTGTCATAATATAGTCGTCCTCCCCCCACTAGACACCTAGTGGACGAATTCGAATTTGAAGTAGAGCATGCCGTGTGCGGCAGAGCGCGGTACCTGCAGCCCTCACTTTGATCTCATACAGACGTTTTTGTGTTTTCGGAACGTTTCATCCTATTTTTCGAATGTCAGCAGTCTTCTTAACTGGATTGTAGACTTTATTAGTCTTGAGTGATGTTTCCTGCTACTATGCTCGTTATTTGAATTCTGATTTCAAATTTAGCTGAAATAAAAACCGAAGAAGCGAGCATAGTAGCATGAAACATCGCTAAGCAGCAACAGTTTCGTCGATTTTGATTACAAACATCATTGAAACAAAAAATCACCATGCAACGACGAAGAAACACCAGAGAATATTGGATGAGGTTGAACTGGAGTTGACAATGCCGCGCTCTGCCGCAATCGGCGTGCTCTAGTTCAAATTCGAATCCATCCACTAGGTGTCTAGTGGGGGGAGGACGACTATATCTATGCAGGCCAGATGAAATTCGCATAGAAAAGGCACGAAGATAAGACTAAAATCTTGATTTTGCACATTAAGTATTGAGCCCGGACTGAGTTGGTCACTCAAGTAGGTTTGAGACTAGGATCTCGACTACGAAATCTCGCTTTTGAAGAAAAAGGGCCTGAGGCCCTCGAATTTCGGGTCGAGCAAAAGTTATATATTGTGTTGATGTTTTTGTGATTCGTGTGATTTTTTATGGCACATTTTCCCCGTGTATATGGGAAAATAAACAAACATTCAGTTTATAAAAAAACAACAGGGTATGCCATTGCAGATTGTTACGATCACTACACTTTTACTTGTTTCTTTCAACAGCAAACAAGGGCGGGTACACGACTTTACGCACAGACTGATATTTCGACAAACTCGCCTTTTCAGAGTCTGGAAAGTCGAAGACGCATAAGTAATCTATTCGATAAAACACCTTGTCGGCTACAGAGAAAACCAACCCCTTAAGAAAACAAGGGCTCAATCACGACGCACCATTAAGCTAGTGCTCACCTTAACAGATGATAGATTTGGTGAATTACAGATCACTGATGTCAAATGCTGCACTTTTATATTACCCTTTGATTCAACCGTATTGGCGGCTGGAAGGCGACCGCTCACAACCGCGACGCAGTCTGCGTCTCCCTCGGAAGCGTGCTCGTTGATCAGTCTCTAGCCTTGATTAAGCCTCGAAGCATCGCACTCTAGCCGCCAGTTCCTTTGAATCAAAGGGTATCTGGTGACCCGATTCGTGATCACTACAACACTTGATAAAGAGAGTGACTAAACTAGTAAACATCCGCTAGCTTGCAGTGAATGGAAGTAATACCGAAATCCAGACATTTCTCTACAGCAGTGGTGCACAAGAATGTCTACACAAGAGCTATTCAAAAAAAGGAGAAAGCTATCAGCATAAATTGGAAGAGCTCCACGAAAAGCCGAGTGAATATTTTGAACGATTAGTGTGACGTATGTTATACGATGATGCCCCCTAGCATCGCGGAGTGGGAGATTCAGGCCTCGTCCCGCAGCAACAGCGATAGGGGCCACGGCTTGTAAACAAAACATGATTTTCGATGTCTTAGAACCGCTTTGCGATTAATCACCGACGTTATCTATCTCTGTTTGCGGCAGTCAAACAACTACTTTGGATGCTGTGCGGTGCGATTAGATGAATCAAATTATGGCAATGAGTTCGCTATCTTTCTCCGATTGATTTAAGTGCAAACTAAGTCCTTGAGTACGAATCTCATCCGCGGACATAAAACTTTTTGGTATTTCCGTGCTATAAAGTGAGAAAACTCTCAGGATAGTTCTGAACTTGTCTGACAAAGTAGTGCTGATTTGAAGTGCATTCAATGCGGCCAAGGGCCCTGGGCATACCTCACGCGATTTGGCAATACTCCAATTGTGCATAACTCATCCTAAGGGGTTTCTGGATGTGCGAAAGATAGGACACTTTATCAACCTACGAAAGTTAAACATGCTGTGCATTTGAGATGTGCCAGTATTATTTGATGACGTCTGGCAAAGTACTGATCGCATGGCGACTGAAATCGCGTGAAGTATGTTCTATTACAGCGATCGAGAAAAAAAAGTAACAAGAAAGAAAAAGAAAAAAAATTAAATGCCTTGCAGAAGTTTTAGTACTGTTTTGAGTCCAATCCAATAGAGCCACTGAAGCTCTCCAAAATTTACTATAACAAAACTGAGATGTTCCATGAGCCTTAAGTTTATTCTGAAATTCAGTCACACTTGGCTCTACGAAAAATATTTTCCATGAAGCGTTGCGCATGGCTATGTTATATTCCTTTTCAAGTATTAATGGCAGAAAACATATAAAAAATGTTCCCGACATTAAGTTCAAACTTTAAGACGTTCAGCAGGGCTGCAGATGAAGCCGAGAAAAAAACAAAAAGTTTCCAGCACAATGTGCTGAGAGGAAACATCTTTGAGAACATTTGCACACAATGATCAACTTAGCAGCTTCGCACATGCGAAAAAAACCTCTTATTCGAAAAGAAAAGAATCTGCACTGACCAAGATTCCAATAAAAAGTATTCGAGGAGAAGTCTTTGTTATCTAAGGATAGATAATGCAGTAAAGGACAAAAGAATTGCTCCGCCTCCGTTGCGTATACAGTTCATTTCGAGACAATTACGGAAGTGGAAGTACAAATCGATGAGTTCAGAAATTGTCCTTACATACGAGAAAATGCGCATGCACTGTATGCCGAAAGGATTAGTTCTGATCACAGTGAAGATCATTATATATTTGTTTGTTTTTACTAGCGGCAGTCTTTATCAGCGGATCATACACCAAAAATCTCTTGGCGCAAGCCACTATTTTGACTGCGCCAGTAGCTGATAATAAGAGAAGTAGACTGGGAGATCATCTCTCTTAGAATCCACTAAGAAAAACAAAAATTTTTCTTTTCCAAATCACATTTGAATCATCACGTGACAGCTACAAGTTTTGCTTGAACTCGAAGTAAGCCTAATGACTGCTCATAGCGAGAAAGATAATTTTTTAGGGGCTGCTGAATGTGCTCAATCTGTGGATATGCCAGATTATATTGTAAACATTTTATTGTATAGTTATGATTAGAGCAGCGTACACGAATGATAAGCAGATTTGCTCCAGTATTTTATCCGGGGCAAGACTAGAACCAATGGAGTTTCGATTTTTAACTACCGAAATATAGTACTAATGATAGGAATATTCTCAAACATCTATTTATTTTTAAAAAAGGCACCTACGTGCAGTCTGTCCCTTTACTTCCTTGTTCCGCACAACCGCCTCGCACAGCCTCGCGCTTTGGATGCCTAGCCGTACCCAAGAGGAACACTGCAGTTGAGACAGACTATGCATCCACAGTTTTAGCGCATAAAATCACTCCTATTCTGAACTCCATACGTCCAATGTGGATTATTGAAGCATGGGTTGAAAACTTCTCATGTATCACGAAACAAATCAGCATGAGCTCTCCTGTGTCCACATTTACGGTGAAGCCCTATAGAAGATCCATAGTTTCAATGTACTACGGCAAAACGCTTCATTAGATAAGTACAGCGCATTTGCTGAGATTGATGAATTTACGATTGAACACAAAAACAGATTAGCGAACAGCTTTACGATTTTATAAATTATGTTTGTATGCAAAAAAAAAGCAAATTGGTGAAGTAAGAAAAAAAGGAATGGACCACTGTGTAAAGTTAATGGAAAAAGTTTCAAAGATAAAAATTATTACCTAGACCACTAAAGGAGCACCAATAAACAAAATCAGGAAAAACATAGACACAGCTGCGTTGATCAAGGGTTGTTTACAGTCGAGTGTGTTTTTACAGAACATGACCCTACGATTACTGCTTTGAACATTGAGTGATAGCCGAAAACTTCAGAACAGATTATTAAGGTCAACCCGTGCGAACTGTAAAATAGAGACACATTTGTAACCTGGAAATTTTACGTACACTGAGCAGGAGTTTTCTGAAATTGAAAAGTTAGTCTATCTATAACTGGAGCATCCCCTGCGAATCCTAAGCTAAGACTAGTTCGCTAATTCAGCTAATAATTCAGCTAATGAAGTTGTCATTCTTAACCTACCCAAATCTTGGCGTAGATAGAGCAGGATTGATTGTAAGATACATGGACATTCTGAAAAGTTGATTCCTTATAAGAATGATGCGATAGCGTAGAAGAAGGAAAACGGTCTACGGTAAGTAGCTACCGTGAAACGTCTTAGCCAAACCTACTAAAAGGATGTGAAATACATATCGTGAGTTCATGCGAAAAGAGACTTCAAATGTAAAAATTACTTGCAAAGAATGTTGCTACATACACCTATTGAAAGTTCTAACAATCTCTAGCAACAATCGGCAGAAATCCCAGAAACGACGCAAAAGCTTGCAACTGCTGCAGAGCAAAAAGCTACAGCGCATAAAGAAAGAAGGCCTATTGGAACGAGATAAACATTCTAATCATGTGAACACAACGTCGCAAAAAGACGCAACACAGAGAACGCTTGAGAAACCACGTCAAAATGATATCCTTGGTCATAAAATTAGCGACAAATTCCGGTGTCTGATAAATTGCTCATAAAAGAGTTTCATATAGAAATACAATGGCTTGATTGATAAAAAAATGCGAATGATAACATCTAGGACCATAACAGACACAGTGATTTGAAATGACTGCTTGTTTATCACCCGTGTTGGTATTGAAGCCAAACAGAGGCTTGCGTTTACAAAGGGTACAGTGAATGGGCTAGAGGCTTTGTATCTGACTACTAAAGGCAATGTCAACATAAAAATTGCACACATAATTTTGTAGACTCTAGAGAAGCATATATACACAGAGATCTGCAAATGAAACAAAGAAAAAAGAGAAGGAGAGAGAAGAGAGGAAGAGGATCAGCTAATAGCTAAGACTTTTGTGTAATGAAGGACTACCAGACTTCCTTCAGAGCATTAGCTATGCAGGCACTATTTTTCTAAAATAGAGACTTTTCCCTAAACGATAATCAGTGCTTAAATTCTTATAAAAGCACTATTATAAGGGATAGCTCAAAGGCGTGTCTAGACAAATCGGAGTATTTGGATGTTTTACATGTCCTGTTTGAGCCATTCCTTGAGCACATGATTCATTCGAGTTCAATTCGATTCTCTAGAGAACTGGTTTGAGTGGACCAATCAGCAGCCGCGACTACGGTAACGAGGGTCACGGTAACGGTTACGGTCTGAGCGAGAGTTCAGGCTTGGACATCTGGGATAATGATAAGAGCTGTCACATAAGCAATGACCCAACTGAGATGCCCTAATTCGTCACATAAAGATTGGTACCCAGATTTGTTTGAAACGTATAAACTCTGCTGCGGCATCGATCATCCACCATCTCATACTTCAGCTTCGCTGCAAACGTTTTAAAGGTTGGAAAAGATGAAAATCCCATCAGGATAATAAAGAGGAGAAAACATGAATGAGGTTGGTTGAGCCCATGCGAAAAGCGAGTTGTAATGATGGCTGGCAATCAACCTTCGCTCTCCACCTTTATGTTATTTGTAAAAAGCAAGGTCACGAGGCGCGATGATACACGGGCCAAGCAGCGAAAAAACGCAGCAGCACGCATATCAACAAAAACATAGGCTTTTCTCTACGCGGAAAACAGTTTTTTTTTCTGAAGTGAAAAATTACCACAGATTGATTGAGCTTACAGTTGAGGGATTTTAGCTTACGGCATGTAACAAAGTGTTTGCGCTTGCCGAGAGTTGAGTAACAAGTTGTGAGTTTTTTCGTGGTGGACTTTCTCCTTTACCAGTTGTTCAAAAAAAGTTTTGTCAGCTTATAATACATATACGTATCCTTTGATTTACTCGCTTGTCGGCTGAAAGGCAGGGCTTCGTGACCTAGTCAAGGCCAGATAATGATCAGAAAGCACGCGCGCGACAGAGACGCAGACTGCGTCGCGGACGCGAGCTGCCTTAATTAGGTCACAAAGCCCACCTTCCAGCCGCCAAGCCAATTGAATCAAAGGTTATAAGTAATTCTAATATAAGAAAAGATGTGCTCTACATTCTGAAGTAGTAATGGTTGGGTTAACACTCAGAATTTTTATATAAAAAAGCTTTGAGAAGACAACTTTGTAGGCAGTACTACACAAACGAGTATGCATATAGGAAACATTACATAACTTTCCATAACCGATCATAAATCAATTCACACAGAAAAATGTGCATTTAACCAGAAAATGGCAGGTTAGCTCTCACTCAAGAAAAATGTGAGAAAACATAAATGCGGTGAGTCACCTGTTCCATCTCTCTTATGTTACTACCAGAAGAGGAATTTCGAAAGTGGGTAAATGGAAATCCGGACTAGATTGTAAAGATAAACATGGTAGAATGTGTAATCCATCTAAGTAATTGAATGAATTTGGGTTATGACGAAAAGTTAACGTTTGCGCAATGAATCAGTGGCTCATGATGATGCAAAACTCGTAAATTCTAGTGGGTTTTCAAGGTCCAAGGGATGAGTGAAACTGGTGACTTGTAATTTATCAGCGTCGTATTACTTGTGGTTTTTATATGTCGTTCCAAAAAGCAAAATAAGACAAGGTCACTCAGGTTTATCCAAGCAAAGCGGAAAAACAGATTAGGTTAGTTACAATGTTTCTCATTCCAAAGATAGCTGTGTAATGATGTATAATTGCACCACTTTTGCAATTTCCAGTAAAGCCGGCCAGTGGCGAATTTCTATCAAGACTGAGAATGCAGTATGAAACCAAGGGGGGGGGAGGCGGCCACACTATTCCTGCGATTCTTGTAATTCCTGCGGGTCCCGTAACTGTATATTGCGAAAAAACAATGTATACTGAAATTCGCAAACCGCTCCGTAGTGCGGCACACCGGAAGTGGAGGAATCACAAGAATTTCAGAAATTACAGGAATCTCGAAAATCATCTCCTAGAATAGTATGGTTGATCCCGACACGTAGACAATATGAGAAAAAATTCTTGTACCTCCAAAAAGTAGTGCAATTACACGAGGTGAATGCTAGAGTGAGGTCTACCGTGCCGCGCTTGGGAGACTGACTGAGCCGAACATTTTTAGCCTTGCAACAAACTCTCATATCCCAGGCCTTGCAAATGTTTTAGCTAGATTGATGTCGGAGAATAACAAAGAGTTGAGAAGATAAGCTCAGCAAACTACGTAGGGGTAAGAACGGTGGCAAAACAAAGCGATGCAGCTGTTTTTCAGCTGTCACACGTCTTCTCAAGATTCGCCTCTTTCTCTCGTTCTCTCTTTCATTGCAGAGCCTTTGCACTTCTGCAAATGCAAATGCAATTGCAAACAGTGCACGAAAAGAAAAAAAAACATGAGGTCGATAAAAATACACTGAGGTCTAGCAGACAGTGAGAGCTGTCAGACTCCAGCTAAAACAGAGACTGGGCAGGTGAGTTGCACGTTATTTGTACAGTGAAGGCATAAAAATGTCCAGCACAACTTATAGATATGCATAAAGATGAAAAGAGTAAAATTAGCGCTGCACAACCCACAAAAAACAAAAATGACGGCCTACCAATGATATTTATCAAGGGGTGTAGAAATGTTGTTAACGATAACAATGGAACAGAAGACCAAAAAACAGGAAAACATTAAGATCGCCAGCTTGAAGAAAGAATGAATGTGACTTTTTAGCTCGACAGTGCTCAATAAATTTGCACGTAATGCTCGGCCTCTATAATTTATCATTGAATAGAATTTTCCCCACTGGGATTAAAAAGCTATAAAGATCTGAGTACACGTCCAAGAGCGCCTAAAGTGCAGCGGGTGGAACAGCCAAATTTCGGAAAATATTTGATTGCTTTTTTTGGAGTCCGAATAAAAAGATGCAGAGATCTGACAGGGGAAGGATACTTGGATGCCGTGGCCATTCATAATGATTTGTATACCAAAAAATGCGCCTTTAAATGCTGGTTCGTAAACTGTCTTTCATATCTGCGAAACGATAACCTGAATGGAGTTATGATTTTTTTTTTCATTAGATAATTGCGTTACTGTAGAGGGTCAAAATCATCAATAAAAAATTTTCTCTCCTTTTCAACTGCTGAATGTGATTCTGATAGTCTAAATAAACAGTACTACGTCTAAAATTTTCTTCAGTAGCATCAAACGATAGGGTAAATCATATCTGGTGATTTCTACTATCCGAAAGTAGGCTAAATTTCTGAGAAAAAAGTTCATAACTTCCTTCAAAAGTTTCGCAGATTCCGAGCACAGATTCAGAATCAGCATTTCGAGGTGCATTTTATGGTATACATTGCATTTCAAACAGCCACGGCATCCAAGTATCCTTCCCTTGTGAGTACTCGTCCAAGAGCGCCTAAAGTGCAAACGCGGGAACAGCCAAATTTCATAAAATATTTGTGTGCTTTTTTTGGAGTCCAAGTTTTCCAGATCCAAGAGCATACTGGGCACATTTTTGAAGTGCCACATCTACATACAATGAACATGGCAGACAGGCGATTTTCTGTAGTTAAAAAGCTTCAATCCAGCAAGTCAAACGAACCTAGATTATCAAAAGTATTCTTTGTGCAGGGTGGATTCAGTGTTATCTACGAAAATGGAATTCCTCCACCACTTGAAAAAAACTCCACCAGATGAAGAAAAACAAGAAATGTGGATTGATTTGGGCATGTGTGTCAAATCTGAACTTTGATGAGAAAGCTCGTAGTGTGCACAAATTGGGACACTAAATTGATTTTGCGATCAAAGCCAACGATTTGCAAAGTCGTTTTGCACGCATAACCCTTTGCGCAGAATACTCACTCCATTTCTATGATTATAAATGGCTGAAGGACTTATTTGATACAATAGTCAGACGTTGATTAAAACTCTTCAATACTTGCAACACTCCTGAATGTTCCTAGGACCCACACTGCATGGTGTCAAGAATCCTGCTAGCCCATACCCAAACATTCCACATAAAGCAAAACATGTCTGTAAGAGTGAAATGTTTTGGCTAATTCTACCAAGTGACATCAAGTTTTGTAAAAATGAGTTGGATTTTATTTGGGAATTTTTGCCAAAGCTTGCCTTATTTTTTCCAAACGGGAATGGGGCTTAACCCATATAAAAACCCTGAATTGACAGGAACGCATTCTATCGCAAACATGTGTCTCACTGTTTTCAGGACTTCTATAAAGGACCGAATACTGCCTCCTTATGAGAAATTGTGCAGCTTTTTGATTTAATTTCGACATCATTTTAAAGTAAGATTGGCACTTCTAATTCTTCAGTTCAAATCTGTGGTGAAGTGGAGCTGCACAGTTCACCGCTCTATGGATACTTATACAGTTGTGAAACTAATGTTGAGCTAGCATCCCAGCATTGACATTCTCTACTGTTCGAAACCAGGATGAATAAGCAAAGAACTGAATTTCATCTAGATGCAAAAACAGTAAAAACATGATTGAACAAACAAAGAATATTGATGAAACTAAAACAATAAGCTAAACTCCTGCAATTTGGAAAAGGTCAAATGTAAATTAATGATTTTCTTTCTGAAATACAATAGAAGTAATAAATGTATGTAAAAATGGGTATTTTTGTGGCAAATGGATACATGTTGACATGCGACTCACACAAACGTGCACTTTGACTGAATAGAGCCTATTCTCACTTCACGTCTTTCTTCTATTCACGGATGCTCCCAAATTCCCGATTATGTGTGAGTGATGGTTTGATTTTCGTAGCAGCTAAAGCTTGATGGCATGTCGAGATGTCGTTGTAAGTAAATAAATACTCATCAATGGCTTACAGTCCTGGTTATTTTATAAATTATTGCACAACTTTACCTACTGCAAGTACAGGGTCGCAAGCACAACCTGACTGAGCAAAATTTGAAAGCAGTTATTGGACTTGCAAAAGGTCTCCTTTCATTCATGAAACAAATCCGTTTCAAAGCCTGTCCTAAAATTGTACTGTATCGTGTTATATAAAAAGGCGTTTCAATCGAATGAGCTTAAATTTTAGGCACCGATTCCTAAATCATTTCGACATTTAAAATGTACCTGTACGCTAATTCAGCATTGTTCAGATATGAAAGTGTCGACAGTGATTGCCATTTGCTTGGCAATATGTTATGCGAATGTCAGTACAAAGACTAAGACTCTTTCTCGGAAGCAGTTTTGCAACGAAAAAAAAGACCGTAAGTTGTAGAAAACTCCTATGTTTAACAAAGATACTAAGAGAGCGCTAGGTCTAGAAGCTTTCAGTGGTATATGCAAGATTCGATAAGCAATGTGTTAGCAGCAAAGAGCGCCCAATGTGCAAGCTGAACGGATCTCTTATAATTAGAAAGTACAATGTAAGACCTTTATTTTGAATCCATGCTTTCAAGCGTATAGAGCATGTGTTTTAGAAAACGGCAGAAAAAGTGGGTATGATCCCCAATGATTCCATCGATTTGGTTCAACACGCCTATTTCAAGGAAGTATGTAACTTCAGTGCTGGAGAATACATACTCGTAGGTAAGGACAATAAACAGGCGTCAGCTTTTCCTTGGTAAGCAAATTTTCAGGAAGGATAAGTCCAAAGAATATTTTTATTACCCTTAAATCGTGCAAAAAGGTTGCTCTAATGAATGCTACGGCCGGACTACTTTGTAATGACACAAAACCCGCAAACGAAATCTCAAAGGATGTTCTGCCAACATTCCTGTAAGATGCAAGTCTAGATTTCATCTTCCCTATGGTCAGCTTCAATTTCGAAATGCATTCTCTATAACTCTTATTGTCTCCAAAGTGCTTATTATTGGAAAACTTCGTTTGACAATTTCACACTTAGTATAGGATGTCTTAAAAATGTATAAACCAAAGTTTTATGATTAACTCTCTTGCATGAAAAGCTTTCGCCTTTCTCTAACACCATAATGTAGAGGCTTCAACTTACAAGGGAGGTCTGATTAGCCGACGTGGCCTTTCCAAATGAGTCTTATACCATTTTGAAGACCATTAAATGGACTACAATTCTGATTTCATTATCTGCCGAGCTTCTCTGCATACCGAGTTGTGAATATTTTCATGGAGCGAAAAATGAATGCATAATCTAGGTAAAATCAAATTCTATGGTCTTTTCAGCTCTCAAACAGAGCGGTTTTAAGTATGAGTGTTTTGGACAGAATTTATTCTCCAAATGGATAATCAACATTGGACCATTTGTGCAATTCTAACAAATTTTGTTCTAATTATGCATTCAATTTTTCAACTCAAAAAACGCCCATAACTCGACGTCCAGAGGTGCTCGGCAGATAACGAAGACAGATTTGGAATAACCGTTCAATGCTCTTTATAGTCGTATGAAGTCATGTGAAAAGACCACTTCGACTAAGCGGACCTCCCTTGTTAGGTCTACAAAAAAAAACAAATCATCGACTTTGTTCATTACTATAGGATTACGGTAGCTTCCAGCTTATAGCGTCATTGCGGATAGGCCGTTTCAAAAAAAATCCAAAAAAGAATCTGGAAAGCTGTGTACTAGGCTCTTCACGCGCGCTGATTTCATTATTCAACTTTCCAGAAAGTTTCTAAAGCTTTTCGAATTATGCGATCACAATTTTAGGGAGGATATTCAAAACGGACACTGCTGTTTTTGACATAATTCATGAATGAAGCATTACGGTAAATTGCCAAGTCCATATTTAGTGTCAGTGGCTATGACTAGCCTAGCGTAAGATTCTCCTTCTTTGATTTGCTTTCTAAAGCGGGTGAGAGCGGCCATGACTCAAAACCCTTTTCAGCAGTGGCGTACCCAGGATTTCGGCTCGGGGGGGGGGTCGCGACAAAAATTTTTTTTAAAGAAGGTGCGCGGCGTTAGCCACGCACTCCGAAAATTTTTTTGGGGTGGTTTTCAAAACTTTTGCGGGTCTCCGACCCCTAAAATCTGGAAAAAGGGGGCGTGGCTGACGCCACGCCCCCGAAAAAAAATTTTTTACAAAGCTAATTTGAATTTTTAAAAATTTTTAAAAATTATTTTAATTATTTACAAAAACAAACAAGTCACTTGCACATTTTTATAACCCATATAAGTAACTTTCAAAAATTTCGCGACTCATTCTCGGGAGGGGGGGGGGGGCGCCCCCCCCCGCCCCCCTTCGGTACGCCACTGCTTTTCAGAATTTCTACCATAGTCTTAGAGCAATGAAGAGCGGTCACTATTTATTGCAAATATAGCTGAAGCCAGCTTTACAAAAAACGTTCAAAGGTCCGCGAAAGCTTTTTATGCAAGAAACTTCTTATATGTCATACATTCAGTGCATTTTTTGGGAAATCCTGTGGCCGTATTCATCGACGAACCCACCGGATTCAGTTACCCAGTGGATTCGCATTCCGTGGGTTCGCGAACCAATCGGGTACGATCGATATGCACAAATGCTGCGCTGGGTTTGCTCACTTACTAGCTTCGTGAATATTAATTTCGTGAGTTAGGCCTAGCCATTGGGTTCTGGAACCCCTGAGTTCGTCGATGAATACGGCCACGTTGTGCCTCTTCGAAGGTTCAGGGCATGTTTTTTGGTATCAGGGTGCGCCTATTGCATGCTTCATTATGTGCGCTTGATCAGATAAATAAAATTTCCTCAACCATTGTGTGAATTACAGACTTTAGTGTATACCTACACAATCACAAATGGGTGAAGAAGTAGCGCAAGAAGTGTTTGCTTAACTCCACCAAGCTGTGATTAGTTCACGTGAAGGAACCGAAGAAGAGATTTAGATACAAGAGATGAAAAAAACAATGTGGTTTAGTGAAAATACAGTCGAGGAAATAAATTTATGAGCTATCACATGATTTTAAGTGGTAGAGGACTTACAATTGTATTGCATGCTACCATTCTTTCGACCCTACGCTTAAACCCAACACCGAAGGTGAGAGACATCTTACCCGCTTTTATATCCCAAATTCTACAATGACTCCGACAACAAAATCGAAAAACGATGCCATATGCAAAATAATGGAGAGAGTCACAGACTTCCACATTTTAGACAAAGACTGTCATTGTAGAATCGTATAATTTATTCAGGGCGGACTTGTCTTGTGTCAATGCATATTAACACCAATATCTCTCAATAAATTATTGAATTACTTCGTTGCAATAGTTAAATCATGAGCACACATAGACATAATCGATGAAACCCGTTTTTCTGAGCTTCCCCTCATCCTTCAATTTTGCCAAGTGGAGCCGAACCGAGACGAATGCGGCCACATGCACGTTTCTTGGTAGGCCTTTATAGAGGGCCCGCGTGACTTCAAGCGGATTGGCTTGTCCAACCTGCAAAGTAGATAAGAATTGCATTTGATAACTAAAAGTCCAGAAGAATCAATCATTCTACTCAATGATTACAAGGAATTTCAATTTGATCGCGACCTCGGCGCGGGGTCCTCGCGAGTCGCCTCGCTTGAATCTCTCGCCGCCTTCGCCCTCAGCGGATACGGCGGCGTGTCAGGATCCTCCAAAGGCCTGCCGCTTCTTCTCCAGACGCGCCCGTGGGAGGTAATTATCACTTCGCGCCTACCTCGCGCCTACGTCGCACCTATCTCGCACATTTCTGCATTAGTTCTCCTCCGGACAACCTCCTTGTTTCTCCTAGCGTAAACAAAAAGGGATTACATAAGTGACGAGTAAAAGATTGCCAAAAAAGTAACGAAAATGCTGTGGAAAAAAGTGCTTCTGATCGCGCTCATTGAAGATGTGCTAGGTGAGAGTGGATAAAAGCTGATAATGTTTTCTAAGAGGGCACGGGTTAAATATTTTGAAAATGTACAGCTCCGGAAGTTCAGAGTTATCATTTTTCGCATATTAGCTCTCCATTTGAACTATTATACTATTAATCTTATGAACATTGAATCTTCAAGAAGGGTATGTTATTCAAGAAAATTAGATTTGGAGCAAAATTTGCCATTCATAATGTTCGGTCTTATTGCTATGTTTGTCAATCTTAGTTTTTGTGCGAATTTTCTCTGAAAGAAACTGATCACAAATTCCTTTAATGTGTAATTTTCCATGCATAAACTTTCCAGAAGAGCCTTGTAAATTGATCAAACATTCAGTTAGCGTTTAAGCCCCTAATATCTCACCTACTACTTCTTCAATGTCCAGGGTCACAAGCACTTTTCTTATCTATCTGTTTATTTTGATGTTTGGTTTCATAGCACTTTCCTTTTTTCTGGAATTCATTTACTCATCGCGTATGTGCTGAGCTTTCTAATTAATGCCAGGAGAAACAAGGCAGGAGTCCGGAGGGGACTAATGCAGGAATGTGCGAGATAGGTGCGACGTAGGTGCGAGGTATACGCGAAGTGAATATTACCTCCCACGGGTGTGCCTGGAGAAGAAGCGGCGAGCCTTTGAAGGATCCTGACCGCCCTCCAGCGGATACGGTATTTTCCCAAGTGAAGGCAGTGTTTAAGCTTAATCTAGCCCCCTCCGAGTAGTGCCAATCCTGAATTTAGGCTGCAGGGGAGGGGCATCTGCGTTGGTCTGGACCTCTAATGTTGAATGGAGATAATGGGCCTGGCACAGCCAAAGTGCTATTAAGCTCCGCCCAAATCCTATCAAGCTCCACCCACTCCATACTGAAAGCCGTCCGCGCCCTCAAGACAGAGTCCCCAGAAATAGGGTTTTTTGGGGTTTTTAGACAATTCGAAGACCATCACCTGAGGACCACGGAAACCTCGCAGGCAGAAACATGGGAGGCAAATTTTTGGGTGGACGCTGCCTTTGATACGTAGGAAATACCGTATCTGTTCTGACCAGAATTTACTTCCGTATGGATGACAATATAAGCGATGCCTTGGTTGCCATATCAATGCGAATTAATCAAAAATGCCTCCGGTGCTAACAAGGGAACGATACTCGGTGTCCGTGGCCTTTTGAAATGAGATGTATACCCTTACACTCGTCCTGGAACGCTGATTCCAAATCTTACTTCCGTTTCTGCTAATCGCTCCAAAGATGTTATCATGGATCGCGCAGAGTTTGGCTACCCAGTGAAAATTTGTCGGAGTGCCAATGACATGGGTGCGTTGTGGTCTAGTGGTTAGTGCGATAGCCTCATGAGTTGATGCAGCTCTAGGTTCGAGTCCTTTTGTGTTTTTTAGTTTTGCGTTGACTCAATTAACCTTCTTTCACATCCTCAAGTTAAGTGAACGCCCTTACTCTTGAAAAAATGTGGTATTTAAGAAAAAATTACTACTGTTTGCGCTAAAATGTATTAAATGGTCATAATTCGAGTAAACTTTCTCGAACAAGGTTAATTGAGGCAAAAGTAATGCGAAAGTAAAAATGCAAAGGATTTGAACCTACATCAACTTATGAGGCTATCGCACTAACCATTAGACCAGAACGTGGTCGCAGTAGAGGCCGTTCCAATGACCGTATTTCCCTTAAGCGGCCAAACCTGGATCGAAATTCCTTCATAACTTTTTTCAGAGAAACGATTAGCAGAAACGGAAGTCAGATTCGGAATCAGCGTTCGAAAACGAGTGTAATGGTGTACATCTCGTCTCAAAAAGCCACGGACAATGAGTATCGTTTCCTTGTAAGATATTGTATGCGAAAGGGAAAAAACAAACTTCCCTTTCCTATACGAAAGAACACTGAGGCATTCGTATGACAGAGCTGATAATAACAGTGTTATTGTGTCTACCACTTATAATTTTGTTTGAAAAAAGTTGATTGCTTCATCTAATTTTTTTTTCGAAGAAAGTGTACTGCTAGAGCGCCTTTCACAAAGAGCGATGGAACTCTACCTCCATCTCAATTTGATTCCGCTCTTTCATTTGCGATAAGGCGTTTGAAAACTTTGATAAAAAATATGTGATCAACGGACTAACCTGCTGAAGATAGTTTAGAACTTGTATTTCCCGTTTTTGTCGTCTCTCAATATATTCCTCTATCTTCCCTTTCGCGTCACTGATCAATGGACCATGACCAGGGCAAATTAGCTGCAAAATTGGACTCACATTTTACAAACTTCTCAAGGGAAGGAAATTCAAGGTTTTTCGAGTAAGGTTCTGTGTAGCATCTAACTGTGAATGCTACCAAATGAAAGGAGATTTGTGATAGATTGTGGTGGTAAATTTCGGGGTTTTGTGTAAGGGATATCACATATGCTGGACTATCTGAGCCTTTGATCCTACAATTCTATGTAAACTTGACAAACCAGATAATATATTCGAATATTTTGAGGACTCTAGCAAAGAACATCACCCATACCTTAACCAAAAATTTGCAAGTATAATTTTTTTAGCGGATCTTAAAGTGATTTTTTTGATAATCAAACATGGTTGGCCTGTATGCTATGACAATTATGTAGCATTAAATGGTAACTACTTGTATGGAATTAACTATAGTAATAATGAAAATACATCTAAGCTGAATACTTAGATCTGTTCCTGAGACTAAATTTTCATGCACTGGGATGTTGCGCAAGGAAAACAAGTTATCAAGTAAAGTTTCTTCTTCATCGCCTTATTTCTGTTGAAAGATTGGAGATTGAGATAGTGTTTTGTACTAGAAACTTCTCTTCTATTAACGCTGCTGTTATTCTTTGTCTTCTCCTTCTTGTTTTTCACTTTTTAACAATTCGCGTCTTGCTGTTTCCAAATCAAGGAGATTTTTGCGAATGATATAAGAGAAATTGCAACATGCATTAGGTACTTTGCGGCTCAAAATTATTTCTTGAGGAAAACGGGAGTAAAGTGCACTACGTCAAATAGACTTCGACAAAGCGTCTAGTTACCAAGAAAAAAATTTTTTTGTGACCATCTGAACGATATGCATTTTGATCATTTTATCATTCTGATCATTTTGTGTACAGAAGACGCAAAATAGTGAGATTTATATTAATATCCTTTCTCCTTATAATTTGTTAGTACCAGATTTGCACACCTACCTTACAAGGCAAATTCAGAAGCTTCTTCAGTGATCGCATGTAATCACTAAGATTCTCAAATATGCTAGCACCCTCTCCTAGAAAATGAAATTATGTTTATCATGAATTTTGCATGTGACAATGGCAATCCCTAACCTAAAATACAATCACCGCTGAACAGTACGCCTTCCTCTTCGTAAAACAAAGCAATGTGATCAGATGTATGGCCCCTGAATCCTAGTGATTATCGTGAGCGTTTGGCAAGTTTACATTATTTGTAGACGACAAGTCTCATCAAAATTATTGAAGCATTTCTCGGTGATGCGCCTTTTCCTTAACAGATAATTAGAATTCTTCACTTCTGTTTTTTCTGCTGCAATAGGATGGGGAGAAAAGTTGTGACCATGGTTTTTAAAGTCCACAAATGCTTAGTCAGAGTTGAAAGCAAATGTCAAAGATGAGAGTGGTGCTCAAGAATCTTATGTCAGTTCTTTTCCGCGCTAGTTATGGTTTCTGACAGGAGACAAATGGGATTATTGTTCAATGAACTGTTTATAGCGCACATACCAAAATAGAAACTGTTTGGTTCATGCACATTTCCGTCTAAAAAATACCCACAGCAGAGTTTTTTTTTTCAGAAAAGCTCAACGAAAGTGTATAGCTATCACAAAAGAAGCGACTTGTTCCTTGATTGTCCTTCAAACATGAACTCATCCATAATCATAGGCTGGTTAGTTATAAGATAATGGCGTAGAGAGGTTAAACCAAACTACTCAAGGTCATCACGATGTCGCTCGTTTCGTGAAGATTTCAAACTGACAACTCGACTCTAACTTTTAAGGTCAGGTACTTTTAAGGTTTTCAACGCGTTCAAAATGCTCTCTGGTTCACTGTTTCTATTTGGTGTACCTAAACGTACTCTGCTTTCTGCTCGAAACCTTTAGACCAGTTCTCGCCTTTTTTCATTTGATCAGCTTTCTTCTCTTAGGCTTCAAAAACATCAGTACAACAATTTCTCACGTCTTCATTTGCTTATGACTATTTTTGCCAAAATTTACCTGGTCTCAATAACCCTCAATGTGACTCCATCCTCTTTGAAAACGTATCCTTCATCTACAAATCGACATCCTTTGACGTTTTTCTGAAAGTTCAACTCAGCGCACATATTTCTCAGTTGAACTTGATTCTTAAGCTAGATAACTTACATTTGCGTGTCTCATCTTGTAGACTTGCGGTCTTTTACCACTCGAAGTTCGAAAATGATCTTCAACCAACGAACATCCTCCTAATAATGACTAGATTTTCTTAAAATGCACTCGTGAGTGCGTTTGGAAGACTGACGTAGTGGAGTGAAATTTTTTGGACAAGTCTTACAAAAACCTGGGTTTCTCGATAAGTTTTGTAGTTAAAGAACTCTCTACAGTACTTTGAAAAAAGACGGACTTTATTGAAAGATTTTAAGTTTTGTTGAAAGTTATTATTGAGAGTTTTAAGTTTGATCTCCGCTTTGGCTCATAGCTGGATAAAAACGTTGCCGCCTCTTCAGCTCTTTTCAAGCGATCATGTGTAGAATTCCGGTGATTTTTGAAAAAAAAATCTTTAAGAGTTTCTGAGTTCAGTTTCCATATTCTTGCTGTTCCAAGGAAGATAATTTTGAAAATAAAATTTAAGTGGAATTTGTAGGCACTCACATAATTTGTTTTACAACGCTCTAGATGCATTTAGAATTTGTAAGAAGATAAATAAAAAGCTGCATGGGTTATTCAGCCTTACTATCACAGAATAGATTCAAAACAAATGTTAAAGGTCAAAAACCTAGAAAATGCAGCTAATATCAAAATGTTAGCATTTCACTCAGTTTTTCATCGAGTTCCGTCAAACTCAGCAAGTGGAAACTTCAAATAGCTGGTGAGCCAAAGCACTTTGTTCGGCATTCTCTAGGGTCCCATAACGCTGAACTGCCCTTCTTATTATCAGATGATAACCTATATACAAATCGCGACCTGCTGACCGTCTCTCATTTTAGGGTACCTTCAGATTCAACCGGCTTGACGGCTGCTTCGTGACCTAATAAAGGCTAGATAATGATAAGAGAGCACGCGCAAATGAGAGACGCAGACTGCGTGGCGGGCGCGATCGGCCATAACTAGTCACAAAGCCCTGCCTTTTAGTCGCCAAGCCAGTTAAATCAAAGGTTACTTTATTCGTGTGCTGTAAGGTACCTGTATGATCTTGGTGCCAATGCGTGCAGATAATGCTTTCGATCGTAGCATCACCCAGAGCTTCCTTGAGCTTAGGGATATACCTGAATCGAAGATTATGACATTCCCTACAAAAACAAATTGCTTATAGCCGAGGAGGTAAACAAAAAGCATGTAATTAAAATCATGCAATTTCTCAAGCGTATCCTCCAGAAGAAATTTTTTTTCTGATTCCACCTTGCCTCATATTGTTTTTCTCTCCGGCATCTATCAGAAATTTTCTCTTGCCTTTTCCAATTAAGTAAGTGTTAGTTCCCTGCAAGAAATTCGATAAAGATGGCTTAGTCTCTTTATCAATTTTTTTACCTGCAGAGTAAATGGTCCTGGATTCTGGCCCAGCACTCGAGTGATACTAGGACTGATTTGAGCTATGTCATCAAGAGGAGTGAGGTCCTTCCGAGGCTTCCGTTTAGTAAATCGTCTTGTATAGAGAAAATAGACGTAACCCGTTAAGCAAGAGTAAACAAAGTCGAAGTATCGCCGTATCAGAGTGAACCAGTCCATGAGGCAAAACCTATAAAAGTAAATTCCTAGCACATGAGGAAAAAAGAAAATCCCGAGAAGAGGATTTTAAAGACATTTGGGTAAGATAAAGTCAGGTTTGTGCAGGGCCTCTTTAGATTTTTTTTGAGAGCAGCCGTCAGTTACCTACCACTTGTTTGTTAGTCATCATCATCGATAACAAGTACCTAACACCAAGTTTTGGCAAATAAAATGGTTCTTGAATTCAATTTTCAACTGGCTTAGATTATCAGGTTTTTTTTCCGTGACGGATTTTAGAACGAATCATGCAATGCTTTGTCTAAACACTTAATTTATTTAGGACATAGTATTCGTATGACTTAAAAGGCTGTGTGAAACTCAGATTTTTTATAAAATTAATAGTTCCTGTAAATCGCATCTTGTTTAGTAAATCACAATCTCAAGTAGGAAAATCAAGACCTCATATGAACTTGAAGTTCTAATATGTATTCTAAAAAGGCAACACACAACCAAACATTATTGCATAAGATCAATAGCAAAGTGAGAATTGGGATGATTTCCACCGACTCATACGCTGAAAAATGTGATCATTGCTGCTGTGGAACAAGAACTTGCAAAGTTTTTCATAACCGTTGCACAGTTGAGATGCATGACGGTTTCCTTTTTCCTTTTTCTTAATTTTGCATTTGCAGTGACTAATGACAGTCCCAGGAATTCCGTTCAAAGGGGCGGGGGCGGGGGGCAAAAGCTTTCTTTCGAATGAAGGCTTTTCATCACTTTATCTAAAACTTTTTTTACTAAGCTTATTTGATTTTTCAAAGAATTTAAAAAATATTTCAATTTTTTACAGTTATAAACGACTTATAGACAATCTCATAATCCATGTAAACAACTTTCAAAAATTAGGTCGCTAAATTCTCGTTCAAGACATCATTTCGGCGATCTCTGGATGCTTAGTGAGCAAATATTTGGTCTTACTACTTTATCTCTCTGGACAGCAATAGAAAATTACTTTTGTGAAAAGAAATGTCCCCATCTTCTAAGTGAAAACGCTGATGGACGGCATAAAAACATCCATTTCTCAAGGTTTCGATCGTATTTCTCAAGGTTTTGACTTCATAAGGAAAGAAACGCCATAAGAAAAGTAGCGCGATGAGACATCACATTCTCTGACTTCGTCAAAAAAGTAATTTTATCAAAAGGTATGAATTTCAAGTTTTATTCTGATGGCAGGGCATTGTTTGCACGAATAGAGCGTGAAATGGGTAAACTAGGCAGAACGAGAATGGATACGAGAGAATTCAAAATCCAAACAGTTTTCTCTTATAACGAGCGAGAATACTTCAATCTAACTAGGTCTGTATATGGCAAAATGTGGAAAATTGGAGCTCCATTGAAGCTGGATGAAATACCCATAGATAATACGAATTTGCCCCTACATTAGTCGGAGAATTGTAGAGCATACTGGAAATCTGATATGAATAAGTAGGGCAAAGTCTCATGGCGAGATGGTTAAGTACAGCGAAATCTTATCGTTTTGAGCCACGAGAAACTCGCGCTGCATCTAATAGCCGGCGCATCAAATCGCACTGGAGCAAGGAATCTATGGCAGATCAAAGCATCTTCAGAGGTAGGACTCAAAAAGTAGCGCTGCTTCTACTTTTTGTTCTTTGGCTGGTAAACAACACTAATATTGGTTGATTCATAAATCTTACACCAAAGATAACAAAAAAATCTGTAAAAAAATTTGAAACCGGGCTCCAATTCATTCTAAATAGCTTTTGTTGATTATAGCAAGTGTTCTATCCCATGATGCATAGTAGAGACTATTCGCAACAGAGTGGAATGTCGATAGAAAAGCCGAAAAACATAAGTATTGATAGGACACACAATCAGTGTAGAATTCTCTCAGTTGAAAACTATAGGTGAAAGCACATTTATCATCTTAAGAGATCAGAAAGTATAAAAATATAACAAAATACGATTTATGTGGCTTGTGTCGCATGATATGCCAGCCCAACTTTTGCTTTGAACATTTTAAAGAAGCGTATAAGGTTTCCTTCATTGAGCTACGGTGAAACCAATATGTTCATTAAATCCGCAAGAGCTCATTTGTCGGAAAGTTCGGTACTAGACCTATGGACCAAGCTTATGAGTATACATGATATGCGTTCATTTAAAACAACGTTAAATGTCCACCTCTGGCATAAAGTAAAATTATGTAATCGTAGCTATGGTGAATCCCTCACACACTAAAAAAAACTGTCAGGTTATTTGAATGTAATCCATGACAGGGCGACTTAGTGAAACAAAAGGAAAAAAACCAAAAAAAATCAAGTAAATGCAGGAAGCATGAATGGTGGACATTTATCTCTTCGACTGATGCGCATGTGATCTGCATTTGCACAGATTTTCGCTCCAACTAGTTACCATAACCAGCCCATGAACACGCATCGAAACCTTGTTCCCCCAAAATTCAATAAAAAGTGTTGCCGAACAGCGTCTGCAGCTCCTTCTTGTGATCATTGCTTTCCGATTATTCTAGAAATGTTCGCTTTGGTTTCGACATAAGTACTTTGCTCGCTGTAATGTCATCATTGAACACGCACACGTCAGGTTTGTTCTGCATCAGCGCAATATGTACGAAACATAGCGATTTATGCTCGCAAAACATCACAGAAATAAAAAAAATAAAAGAGAATTACGGAGGAACTGTATATTAGATGACCTAGTTTCGAGTTTTGAGTCCGTTCTCATGTTATAGATTTTATGAGAAGATTAACTTACAAAGTATGTTGTAGAGATTAAATATCAAAAATTGACTTTCATCATGTCCAGTAAAAGACTTGTTCAATATTTGATAAATAATAAAAGAGATAAAGGTGGTTTGCGTCTTGCATCTAAATTATTTGCAGACGAATATCATCTACTTTAAATCAGGATAAGGTAAAATAACACACCTAAAGCGAATATAAGTGCCACAATTCTAGCGCTTCTTCAACCGCAAAATCTATTCATTCTGACTCATTCTACATTTCGAAACTGTTCCTTACTTCTTTCCTACTTTTTTTGCATGCTTTTCATGAACATAAAGGCGGAGCTCACTTTTTGCTCAGCCAGAAGCATTAGTGCTTATATTAAAACGAAAACTGGATTCTTTATAAAAGAGAGCGGTTCAGAAAACGATCGATATGAGAGTTTGAACTGGGCGTGTTGAACGCGGATCGGTGTGCAATAGTGCCTCAGATTGTTCGCGAACCAGTTTGTGAGGGTAGTATTTTCTTAACCATTTCGACTTTCATGAGACCGGTTTCGATAAATAATACAGTAATTGTTCCTCATGGAAATGTTTAGCACAAAATTTGCTTCACAGTTTGATATTAGGTTAATGCACAATTTCTGCACAAGAAAATAGAAAAAATCACTTTAAAGATGCTTAAACGAACCAGTTAATTTACACAATATCCTCATTGTTATGTATACCAAAATTAGTATTTTATAGTATAGAAAATCATAATGAAACAAAATCGACAACTTGATTTTGAAAGATCGAAATTCATAACTATTCCTATAGACATCCAAACACTACCAACTTCTCCTACTCAAAAAGAGTACGTCACAAAACCAAGACCAAAAATAAATTCAAATTTTAGTAGACATTTTAGCAATTAGTAACCAAAAATCGAAAAATCACTTTGTGAGCTTTTCATCACTTTGATCAGCTTATATCGCTGCCATATGCCCCCAAGGAATTTTAGCTTAAGGACATTCTGAAAGCGCAAGATTCACTCTTTTTGTTATCCAGTGTCGGGAATCATTTCACCATATCTTATGCCTCGTCATGCTTCCACTGTTTACTGGACACGCCACCCCGCCTACGACACAGTTGCTGTTGTACGAGTATAAAAGACAGCATGAATAACTCTTACACACACTCCCTCTCCTGGCTGGTCATCCTCATACCAGTCTACCCTTCCCCCCTTTTCCTCTCCTTTTATGTAACTTATATAATAAACTAATTTATAATTACTTATGTCTTGGACACAGTACAATAACACCGCTACACCATCAGGCAAAGGTCTGTGCACCCCTTTAACCTGATATGGAGGTCCCAGGGAGATATCATCCCGCAGATAGACAAAATTTTTTTTTCTTTCTCTCTCTCTGAAAATTTAAAAAAAAAATCACCACCCCCCACCCTCCTCCCAATCGACATACCACCCCTCTTCCAATCGTCTTACAATCCCCCTTCCTCAACCATGGCAAGGAAGCTCGAACGACATGTGAGTATTTTTTTTAAATATTATTACCACTAACCGACAATGGTGTGTTCTAACATTAACCTAGAGCAATCTGAGAATTGCCTTCATAAAGTCCTGCGGGCGGGTACCTTAGGTCAATAAATTATATATTTCATGCATGTAAAACGCGGATATTTTCGAAAAATAAGTTTCGTGCCGATTTATGATTGAACGCAATTTTTTTTACGCGCAATTCACAGTAGATTTGTTTACAAATTCACCGTGATCCGTGACTTACGTAATTAATTTAGAGATGAAAAGTATTGAATATAAATTATTATTTTGCGCATTAAAGAATGAGGGTATATTAATTGTAATTATAGCTAGCATATCGGGATTTATCCCTTAAATTTATACAATTATTATGAAATTCAAAAGGACTCGCTCGCGAAAACCGGTAATGTATGCATACAAAATGTGAGATTGGCTATACAATATAGCACGTGAAGGCGCTGACATTTATCAGCTCGCCCGATTCACGGCGCATTGTTTGGTGAATAGATCATTGCATCTCTCAGACAGCGCAACCTCAACAAACCTCAGCTAGCAATAAATTCTCTCGTGGATGACGAAAACTCACAGGTGGCCGCACGAAATATTTTGCTCGGAACGCCATTATCCGGCATTAATCAAGCGCGAACAAATGGCCGAGCCCAGAAATATTTACGCGGAGGAACCCCACCTAGCAATTAATAAGTCGCGAACAAATGGCCGCAAAGATAAAAATAT